GGTGTGTGTGTGTGTGTGTGTGTGTGTGTGTGTGTGTGTGTGTGTGTGTGTGTGTGTGTGTGTGTGTGTGTGTGTGTGTGTGTGTGTGTGTGTGGCTATAACGAAGCAGCCTGCAGTCGCTCTTTAGCTGTCTAATGAAGGTAAACACAGCGAAGGCTGTGTGTAAAAGGCACAGCTCCACTTCCTACTTGGCGAACCTGTAACTATCTCTTGCGCAAGAGAAAGTAAATCGTGATGAGCAAAACCATGTCACTTTTCCACAGAACGGACAAAACATGTTTAACGACCTTAAAGGTCCATAGGTACCGGCGGTCCATCCGCCAAAACAAACTTAAGTTTGTGTCAATCACTTGCACGTCACTTCTGGTATGATGGGCATTCCCTTTCCGGTTTGATTCTCTAGTTTGTTAAAGTGTTTCAGGAAATGTTAAAGTGTTTCGACACTTATACATTTGTCTCTAGCTTTGTGTTTTGCATCTTGTTAAATTGTTTTTTCTTTGGTAAAAGTGTTTTGCTATGTAATTTTGTTTTATAAATTATAATTTTGTTTTATAAAATGTAAATTTGTCTCAAGCTTTGTTAAAGTGTTTCACACTTTGTAATTGTCGATTGCACCTCTCTATTATGCGAAATCCACTTGTTCATGTCTTTTCTACATCAACATGTGTCCCCTCTGTGTAAAGAGACTCTGGAAGTTTCAGGAACAAAGATTCTCTCTCTTTTTGTCCTGATCCATTTCTATAAAAACCTGTCTGAAAATGAGCTGATCAGATTGTGGCCACTTTATGATGTCATAAGGAGTTTTTGTCTTGTGTAACCATTAGCCAATCACCAACCAAGGTAACCCCCCCCCCCCATCTTAAAACCTGAATCTCCTCCTCGAGCACCATTGAGTTCTTTTTAACCAAATCTCTCTCAGAGGGGCTTGGGGAGGGGCTCCTTATTTTCATCTAAAGTAACAGACAGAGAATCAGCACTTTGGAAACAGGGCTGAAACAGAGGGGATTATGGGTAATGCTGCAATGATCTGTTTGGTGTTTGGAGCCAAACACTTCAGAGACATGTTTGTATATATCTGAGACCTGGAATATATTGATGAAAAACAGTATAATAGGGGACCTTTAAAACACATGATGTTCATCTCTCTCCTTCTCGTCCTTCCTTCTTGTTAGCAAGCCCACGAGTTCCCCTCCAGCCCTGACTATGGTCAGAATCTTCTCAATGACCTGAACGAATCCTGCACAGAAGAGGCCAGCACAGCTGAAGACCTTCGCCTGGAGCTGGACCAATCAGAGCTGAAGCAGCGAGGGCTCCTAGATAAAGTGCAGCAGCTGGGCGAGGAGGCTGCAGAGCTCAGGGATGTAGTGGTGCAGCTCCAGAGTCAGCTGGATGTGTCCCTCGCTGCCCAAGAGGAGCAACAGGGCTTGCAGGGAGATCTGAATGCTCTGCAGGGAAAAGAAGAGGCCCTGTCCAGAGAAGTGAAAGCACTCAGGACTGGGGGAAAAGCTGAACAACAACTGCTCCAGGAAAAGCTGGCAGCTGCTGAGGGGAAGAACATGGAGCTCCTAGCCAAACTAGACGGGGTGCTGAGTGAGAAGGGCCAGCAGGCAACCAGTCACTTTGATTCAGCTCAAAAGATCCATGAGTTACTGGACAGATTGAAGGAGGCAGAGAGAGGGAAGATGGATGCTGTAGCTGAGGCAGATGAGAAGAAGAGACAGGCAGAAAGGCTAGAGGAAGAGCTGACACTGAAGGAAGCGGCAGCAACGCGTGGCGAAACAAAGCTAGAAGCATTGGTAACATCTGCGTCTGAGGAGAAGGCCAAGTGGGAGGTGAAAGTGGAGGAACAGTGCAGCGCTCTTGATAAGCTGCAGGGGGCTCTGACAGTGAGAGAGAAGGAGACAAGCAACCTCCAAAGACAACTGCAGGACCTCCAAAGATCCCTAGAGGAGAAGGAGAAAGACATGGAGGAGGTGAAGGAGAGGGCGCAGCAAGATAAAGAGGAAATGGAGAAGAAGTCGAATGGTTTAAGGATCAGAAGTCACTGCCCTTAAGGGGAAGCTCAAGGAGAAGGACGCACAGCTAGGATCCAAGCACCAAAGCCTGATCACAGAGAGAGACAAACTGACCCGTAACCTTGTTGAGCTGGAGGGTAACGCCAAAGAACAAGCAGCGAAGGTAGAAGAATACAAGACTCAGTGTGGCAACTTAATAGAGCTAAATAAGAAAATGCTAAAAACAGAAAAGAGAAACGAGGGGATGAAGAAGGAGATGTTAGAAAACAGAAAAGTGACCGAGACCGAATTAGCTGCTCTGAGAGCTTCTGAGAAACAGCTTCGCGGCCAGATGGACGACACCAAGATGACGGTGGACGAAAAGGAGAAGCACCTGCGCGAGGAGAACCGCCAGCTGGATGAGAGTCTGCAGAGAGCCAACATGGCCGCCAAGCATCTGGAGCAGGAGAACCAGAGTGTGAGGGAGGAGCAGGACACTGTGAAAGCAGCTCTCAGCCGTATGCAAGCCGACCTGAAGAGTGTTCACGCGCAGATCGGAGGGCTGGAGAAAAACTTAGGAGTCTCGCGTAAGAACGAAACCACGCTTCAAGAACAGCTCGGAGCCAAAGAGCAGCAACTAGAACACAAAGAGAAGAGTCTTGTTGAGCTGCAGTCCAGCTTTGAATCTCTTGAAACCAGGGAGAAGGAGCTGGAGATCGCCAAGTCGGACGCGGAAGCAACTTGTGCTAAACAGACCGAAATGATTGAAAGGGTTACCTCGGAGAAGCGAGTGATGGAGACATCTCAGCTGGAGAGGAGCGCGGTGCAAGTGAAGGAGAACCAGGAAGAGACGGGGAAACTGGAAGGCCAATTGGAGGTGTGCATGAAGGACGTGTCCAGGCTGCAGGCAGAGACCCTGGACCTCAGGGTGCGGGGACAGAGATCTGAGGAAGAAAAAGTGAAATCACAAGCACAACTGGAGGTGACGGAGGCCCAGAGAGACGAGCTCCGAGCTCTGACCGAGCACCTCAAAGCCCAGACCGAGGCACTGAACCAAAAGCACGTAGCAGAGCTCGTGGACTGCAAGAAGAAAGAGGGGGTTCTCATTGAACAGCGGGATAAAGAAATAGCCGCCGCTGCAGAGTTGTCCATCTCTGCAGCGGCCGTCCGCGAACAGCTGTCCGAACGCAAGGCAGAAAACAGCAGGCTGTCCTCGGAGAACGGCGAGATACGAGAGGGTCTGCACAGAGCGAACACCGAGATGGCAGAGCTTGGGATCACCATCTGTAAGCTGGGTGCAGAAAAGGAGGAGGCTAGAGAGCACTGGGCCGGGGACGCCGCCAGGATCCAGGAGATGGAGAAAGAGGTGGAGCGACTAGAAGAGAGCATGGCGGAGATGCAGCGGGAGAATGCCAGACTCAGAGAGGAGCTGACAGAGAAGGAGAAACTTCCAGAGAGTATCACGGAGCTCAAGAAGCAGCTGGACAACGCCAACAACCAAATGCAGAGCGCCAAGGAGGAGGTGGAGGCCGCCAAGTTCCACCTGAGCTCTGAGAGCATGAGTCATCAGGTCCAGATGAAGGTGAGTCGGTCAGAAGTGAGTCAGCAGGCACTTTGTCATTAGAGTTGACAAGCATTGAAAACACACGTTATTACGCAAATTAGGTTTTTTATTTCGGGTGACTGCGGCCAAGTATTAGGGTTCAACTCTTTAGCTGGCAGAGCATTTCAGACAATGTCATCCCCTCTATCTCCCCCTATCAACACATATTTCCATAAAGGCGCTCTGGCCCAAAAAATTGCATGAAAATATCAGGGAAGGTGGTCAAGCATTTTAAAAAGTGTATTCCCAAACGCTGTGTAACACCATTAACACTCACTACTGGGCAAGCCTATTCTTTGCACTAGTTATCAATCAATCAATCAATGTTTATTTATATAGCCCAATATCACACATGTTACATTTGTCTCAGTGGACTTCACAGTGTGCATAGAATATCAGTATGACAATACGACACCCTCTGTCCTTAGACCCTCACATCGTACAAGGAAACACTTCCAGAGAAAACCCACAGTTTAAAGGGGAACATGGGAGAAACCTCAGGGAGAGCAACAGAGGAGGGATCCCTCTCCCAGGACGGACAGACGTGCAATAGATGCCGTGTGTACATTTAAAAGATAATACACTCTCTGTTGTCTCCTCCCTAGGGAGAGGGTCCTGCCTGTCTGCACGTTATCTACGGACACACATGTTAATTTTCTATTAGAAATGTTGATCCAACTCTGGATTTACAAACCTTTACGCACACAGATATTATATCTTCTACTTAGGTGCTCCTACAGTTGTAAGGACAACCCCTCGGTAGTCCCCTTCATCATACTAACCTTCAGTCACGTCCTGGGTTGTCACTGGCCAAGTCCGGTGCTGAGCTTCAGGTGCTGTAGTCTTCCTGTAGGTCCCTAGGTCCTGAGTCCTACGGTCCTAGGACTCAGGACCTATCAAAACAAATAACCTGGGTGGTAAGTGTGGACTGTAATAGGAGATTAGAATAGAACTCAAACAATTGTACCAAGTTCTGTAGGTTAGGTACCCAGAACGTAAATGTGGACAATAGATTTATCAAAATACCGACTAGCATTGGGTGTTACTAGTATGTAGTTATACGTAATACTCACTCCGCCCTCGTCCGACTGAACCTCAGGGTCCAATTCCCTTGTGAAGGGTTGTATACTGCAGTCGACAAAGATTTAGTGAAACGGTCTCTTCTCTCCAAGGAAAGCTTGGTCTATGTTTTAGTGTACATGACGGTCCACCTGTAACCCATGAGGAGTTTTTATAGGTATAGGCACTGAGAACTCTAGCGTTACAGTGAGGTTGTGAAATAAGGCTATTATATAGGATGAAAATCTTTAACAATCATTAACACATGTCTGTAAGATTAGGGACATATTATATATACTAAGGACACGAAAACTAGTTAATCGGGGTATGAACCAAATACTGGTTTTCATTTTGAGCCCTTAGTCTTTAGGAATAATTCAGGTGGTCGCTCCTTTACATTCGATGTATGTCACGACTACGATTCAATACATACGGGTACTGTAGTTACAGTTTAAGGAGCTATCACAACAAGCTGGACCGTTATTGGGCAAGACTAAGACTAAGACTACTTGGGAGTTGTAGTAAACTCTCCCAAACGTACGATTCCAACAATTAAATTCGTTTGTGTGTTACGTCGCTCCGACTCATCCTTTACATAAGCAAATGTAAAGGAGCGACACCCTGATTATTTCCTAAATACGTAAGGGGGCTCAAAATGAAAACCAGTATTTTGGTTCATACCCCCGAACTAGTTTTGTGTCCTTTAGTAAATATCAATAATGTCCCTAAATTAACAACATGTGTTATATGTATTGTAAAGAGATTTTCAATCCTTAAAAAATAAGCCCTTATTCACACCTCACTGTAACGCTTTTAGAGTTCTCCAAGTGCCTATACCTATAAAACTCCTCTGGGTTACAGGGACCGTCAATGTACACTTAAACATAGACCAGCGTTTCCTGAAGAGAAGAGACCGTTCACTAATCTTTGGTCGACTAGGAACACACCCTTCACGAAGGGAATTGGACCCTAGTGTTCAGCGGACGAGGCGAGTGATAAACGTATAACCTACCATACTAGTGTAACCCCATGCTAGTCGGGTATTTCTGATTAAATTCTATGTCCACATTACGTTCTGGTACCTAACCTACAGAAACTTGACAACAATTGTTTGAGTCTTATGCTAATCTTCCTTACAGTCACACTTACCCGGTTATTTTGATTTGATAGGTCCTGGAGTCCTAGGACGTAGACTCAGGACCTAGGACTAAGGAACAGCACCTGAAGCGCAGCACCGACTTGGCAGTGACACCAGGACGGACTGAAGAGTAGTATGATGAAGGGACTACCGAGGGTGTCCTTAAACTGTAGGAGCACCTAAGTAGAAGAATAAATACTGTGTGCGTAAAGTTTTGTAAAACAGATGGANCGCGGACCCCCACCTTTAAGCGGTGGGTTCCAGCAGGAAAAGCTGGAGGCCGGAAAAGAGTGAGACAGGTAGTGCGCAAAAGTAAAAGTGGAACCGCTCTCGGTTCCACTTTTACTTTTGCGCACTACCTGTCTCACTCTTTTCCGGCCTCCAGCTTTTCCTGCTGGAACCCACCGCTTAAAGGTGGGGGTCCGCGGACCGGCCATAGAGCCCATAGAGTTAAAGGTGTTGGCCGTTAGCTGTAAAAATCCATAGATTAGCCGCACCGTTATATAAGCCGCAGCGTCGAAAAATAGGGAAAAAGGCGCGGCTTATAGTCCGAAATTTACGGTACTTTTAATGTGTACTTTTTGGGTAATACTCTCTCAAAGTCCCCTCCTGAGAACAAAATCATGCCACTTCTGCTATATTTGATGAGAGATAAAATGATTTTTAGCCATAAATTCTTAATAAAATTGGTACTGTTGGACTCAGTACTTGTTAGACTACTACCAAAAATACAATCAGGTACTTTTACTGTGTACTTTTTGAGCAATACCCTGTCAAAATCCCGTCCTGAGTACAATAATTCATGTATTCTGCTATATTTGATGAAGGATACAATTATTTTTTGCTAAATGTTCGACATGAAATTGATACTGTTGGACTCAGTCAGTACTACTACTTGGACTACTAGCACAAGTACAATCAACTACTTTTACTATGTACTTTTTGATTAATACTCGGTCAAATTCCCGTCCTGAGTACAATAATTCCTGTATTGTATATGAACTATGAATTATTGTAGCCTACTCAGGACAGGAGTTTAACCAAGTATTAGTCAAAAGGTACAGAGTAAAAATACTTGATTGTACTTGTGGTAGTAGTCCAAGTAGTACTGAGTCCAACAGTACCAATTTTATTCAGAATTTATGGCTAAAAATCATTTTATCCCTTATCAAATATAGCAGAAGTGGCTTGAATTTGTTCTCAGGAGGGGAGTTTGACTGAGAATAACTGAAAAAGTACACATTAAAAGTACTTAATTTTATTGTTGGTAGCAGTCAAACTAGTACTAAGTCCAACAGTGTCAGTTTTATTAAGAACTTATGGTGAAACATATTTTTATCGCAAATATAGCACGAAAACATGCATTATTTTACTCTTGTACTAGCGTCAGTGCTGCTTCTCGGTCAATTACCGTAAAGGCGCAATTAATCTCGCACTCACAAATGAAGAGCTGCTGATTTGACCAAGCAAACGCGAGAGACGGCTGAGTTGACTGCAGTGTTCCACTGCACTCCGACAGCACTGAGCACTACATCGAGATTAAGATTAAACACATTTATTTCATTTGGGAAAACACACATATACCTATGGAGTTGGCCAGATGTGTGTAAATTAGTGTTCATTGTAATTTGACAAACAAATGCCGGTGTCGGACATACACAAACACACCGAACACACACACAGAGCGGAACTGAGCACAGCACAAACACACAATTCATGCGACTTGTGGACCGGACATCTCCCTCACAAAACGAGTAATGGGGGAATAATCGGACAGTTTGGTGTGTGTGTGTGTGTGTGTGTGTGTGTGTGTGTGTGGGGTGTGTGTGTGTGTGTGTGTGTGTGTGTGTGTGTGTGTGGCTATAACAAAGCAGCCTGCAGTGGCTCTTTAGCTGTCTAATGAAGGTAAACACAGCGAAGGCTGTGTGTAAAAGGCACAGCTCCACTTCCTACTTGGTGAACCTGTAACTTTCTTGTGTGCACGAGAACGTATCTCTTGTGCATGAGAAAGTTTATTGTGATGAGCAAAACCATGTCACTTGGCCCAGGTGGTTTCCACAGAACGGACAAAACATGTTTAACGACCATAAACACACTCGTACCGTCCATAGGTACCTGCGGTCTATCCGCCAAAACAAACTTAGCTTTGTGTCAATCACTTGCACGTCACTTCTGGTATGATGGGCATTCCCTTTCCGGTTTGATTCTCTAGTTTGTTAAAGTGTTTCGACACTTGTATATTTGTCTCTAGCTTTGTAAAAGTGTTTCGCATCTTGTTAATTTGTTTTTGTTCATGTTAAATCGTTTTTTCTTTGGTAAAAGTGTTTTGCTATGTAATTTTGTTTTATCATTTGTAAATTGTTGTCTCAAGCTTTGTTAAAGTGTTTCACACTTTGTAATTGTCGATTGCACCTCTCAGCCACCGTACATAGGTGACCTTTAAACATGTTGAATTGATGATGATGAAATGACAGGATGTTGTCTGAGTGTTACCTGGGAGTAGGTGCTGGCCAGACTGTTCATACTGGAACTGCGACTGGGTGGTTTCCACGTGTGGCCAGGCGAGTTTCCCAGTGTCCTCCTGTTGATTAGAAAATAAATATAATACTGTACTCCAAAGGTGGTTCATAGGAAGGCTTGAACACACCTGTGATCATTTTGTAGATATTGTTGCAGTTTTACCTCCTTTTAAAGTTTTGTGTCGTTATTTACTGTCTGAGCTACAGTAATATTGCTTTAATATTATTTCATAGTTAAACATTAATTTTCTTGCTGTTTTTGTTTATAGAAAATGTATTAGATTCAAGGTTTAAGGCTTTATTGTCATATGTACAGTAGCTAGTGTGGATATGGCAAGTCCCAGGCTCCTCCAGCAATGCAACATGAATATACTATATAGGACCTAAAACAGATAAAACCAACAAAACACAGTGCAAGAAATAACAGAATGCTTTTATAATATGAAGGCATTTTGGGCACTGGGTGATTATATGGAGACAGGTGATGGTGGGAGAAGCGCACCAGTAGGCATATCGTTTTTTACCAGGGTGAAACAAAGGCACAGGGAACATATTGCAAACGTTGTACTTTCGGATGATATTGGGTTAACAAAATATATGTACGAAACGACCATCTTGTTTGGACTTGGATCATTCCTGGCTACAATTCGCCTACTTGTTCCTCAGCGGCAGTTTGACTTTTGAGATGAATTTCTGTTTTATTTCTCTATGATTTTTCTACCCTTACCTTGCAAAGGTTGGCCAGGAGGCATCAAGATCGTGACCTCTGGAAGCCACATCAAACTGGACCTCATTGAGCTCGTACAGGTGATTGATTATGTCAACACTCAGATGGGGCTTCAAGAAGGGGCTCCGTGCATAATACCAGTCACTGTGGGAAGAGGGTAGAAAGAGGTCACGGTAGGTAATACCCAAACGATAAGAAACAAGGATAGTGGCTAAAAAAGGATCTTTCGTCAAATGTTTTACATAATAAGACAACATTTTCATCTTGATCAAGAAAGGCACCAAATATCATCTGTGTGCCTCTTTAAGATGAAGATGTTTCGTTTTAGTTGTGTATTTTATGGCACAATACTAAAACTGCAGAACTCAACAATCTGACATCAAAAAAGTGATTGAAAACCGTAACTCAATTCTTCTTTGTTATGTTTTTTAATATTCAACTCTCTCCTCTCTACAGCTGCTCTCTACGACTGACTGCTACTTTAAAAGAAAGGGGAATTGATCGAGTCAAACTGAACAGAATAAGTTCCGGTAAATGAGATGCAATTTATTGTAAAGCTGTTTCACCGTGATGCAAAAATAAATGCTGTTCTTCTAATCCATTGACCGGCAACTCAGCAAAGGCCATTATGCAAATCTACATGAAATGAAAAACATTGCAAAGAGACTAAATGGCTCCCTGATCATTTACCTGGTGATTCTCTGGTTCATCAGGCACTGCTGCAGAGTGTCGGCCAGGCGCTGATGTACGAGGGAGTAACGGATAAACGCCCGTCCTTTCCCCAGAGATGTCTTCAGCTAAAGCAGAAGAAGACATTTTTCACATAACTCCATAGACAAACATCAACATCTACACATTTCTTTTAACAAATCTATTAAAACAAAACAAGATGGGGAAAAAACGTTACATGTTACAACTAACTGAAGCTCAGCGCAAGTTCTTTCAGGAAGACTGGGTGTATATACATTCACCTCATTCTCAGCAGCCAATCACTGAGCTGCAGCCAAACTTTAAAATGGTTCTCCTCTCTCCTGCAGTCAGCTGTGATGTCAGGTGTTCATGCTGCCGCCCGCCTCCTCCCCATCCACCTCCTTTCATCTCATCCAGTGCCAGGAGAGTTAATCCAAAGACCTCATCACACCTTCCCTTCTCCTCATCAAATCCAGATCTTCAGCATCATCACCAGTGTCTAGACCCCGGGGGGTTCCCTATATGCTCACGGCTGCATTTCCCCCTTTAGATATACCATTTCAGGATCAGGGTCTAATCGCTAAAGACTTAACATTTATCATATGACATGTGTCAATAAATGTTCTTTAAACAAAACGAAGTCTCTCCTGATTGAATTGTTTCTATATGTTACAGTTACAAGGTTGCAACACATTAGCTCCAACACTTCAATTGATTTCTTGGCGGTGTTTTGGGCCTAGCATATTAGAAGCTCTGAATACAACGCAAAAACAATTATAAAACAGGCTTTTGTGTGTGTGACCTTCCTACCTCAGGGATGGATTTGACAAAGCGGATCCCATCATTGGCTCCTTTGATTTTAGCCAGGCAGTCAGTGAAGTACTCCCAATAATCCTTCTTTGTACCAAGAAATGTGGTCTTCTCCTTCTGGTCAAACTGAAAGGTGAACACATATGTAGAAACAGTTGGAATTAAAAACTGTTGAATGTAGATAATTTTTTGGAGGCGTGTCATTAGTTATTATTACAAATGTCTGAATCCCACCTGTAGTAAGTATTCTAGTTTGTAGGATAACTTGTGCAGGTTGGTACTGTCATCTGTGATTGGCTCCCCACTTTCCCTGTACTCCTTTGCAAGCTCAGCAACAGCATCTGAAGTTCACATAGTTTAAACAAGAAACAAAGGTCAGTCATTAATAACACAGTATTTATACAAACAGTATGCATGTAGATTCACCCTGGTGAAGACATACACGAGGCAAAGACATATGCTTATTAAAAAAATGAATGGAAGTGATAAATACAGTATATTAGGGAAGGTGAGACTCAGAGAAACAAAAAGACAGACAATTGTTATTTCCTTAGAATAAACTTAAAGCCACATGGCCCAAAACAGTCAAAAGAAATTAATAGAATTGCATCACTGTAATATTTCCCAATCTTGGTGCATTTGAATTACACACAGACAGCCATAGTGCATACATTTCAAATGTTGTACCCTATTAAGGACAACTAGTCTGCAAATCAACCACTTGCCTCGTATCCATCGCAAAAACTGGAATGACACCTGTGATGGGTGTATCCTCAGTATGAACTCTCTGTCACACTGCATGCTGACAGAGCCTCCACCACACCCTTTTAAAGCAACATGAGCTCAGACGCACACTTTCTCAAATAACTTGACATCCAGGAAAGGTCAGATAGTTCCAGGCGAAAGATTGTATTTAGAATTGAAGTTGAAATCAGGTCATGTCATTATGAATCTTCTTTCACCTCTCTCCAGTCACACCATGTCAGCTGCAAATGTCTGACTGCAGCCAATCTATTCATTCACAGCTAACACACACACACACACACACACACACACACACACACACACACACACACACACACACACACACACACACATACACCACTTAACTGGAAAGTGCTTACAGAGTGCTACATATGGTTTCTGTTTTGTGTTCATGATAATTAAGTCTGTTAGTGCAAAAATGCAGATTAAACAGTAAATTGAATAAAACATATTTTACTTCTGATACTTGTGTGTAGTTTCCAAACAAAAATGCCAAACACTCACTGGTTACGGTTTCTTGGATATATCAATATGCATATTATTGGTTTATATCATTGTAAACCAATTAAATATAGATTTTTGTTTTGGACTGTTAATCAAACATTTTTGTGCGTGCGTGCGTGTGCGTGCGTGTGTGTGTGTTCCAAGACTGGCTGTAATAGAAGCAACACAATGGTTATGTAAGTCTACTGTATATGGGCATCTGCTGCCATAATAGCATCATGCAACGATGACATTGCGTTGGTATTTACATGTACAATGTGAATGTCACACGAAGGATGACATGCAGTGAAGAGATGAAAGAGAAATAACGTGTGAGTGTGTGTCACGTGTGTATCCTTAACAAGCTCATGGAAAGCCCAGGGCTGGAAGTAGTTGAAAATATGAATCCATGTCATGTTCATCTACAAATGTTAACATGCAGTAAATTCTGTTAAAAAAGTTGTCCAAAAGGCTCATCCTTCAAGCAATCTTTGGTAAAGCTCAGGAAAAAAGGCCTTTTTATTTACAGCCTCTATTTTCTCACGTCAATGGTTATAAAAACAGAAGATTTGTGCTCTAAATGGGACTTAGTAACAGTGGACATTCATTTGAAAAGATATTTTCATTTCCTTTCGGTCTATTACATATTAGTCCTCTAAGATTTCTTTAGTCAATTAGTCATTTATTTATGCTTTTTTCATGCTGATAGACTTATTCCTAAGAAACTCTCGAGCACATTTCTGGTAAACACATTTGAAGAGAAACTCAGTTTTACGGATCTGTTGATTAAATAATCTGATCAATTAGTTGTAACGTCTCCTATTGGACAGTTGGTCAGATTTTATTTGCAGCCAGACTTGGAGGTGATGTAATAGATTGCGCATGTCTGCTGTTATTGCATTAGTTGTTGTGTGATCTGAAAGACCCAAAACTGATAAAGAGAGCCGTGACGGACAGCCTGTATTTACGCTGCCTTGAGCTAAACAGATGGCAGCTTGTCTCCGTGAGGATCCTGGTCCGCTCTGTTTGGAGCCCAAACACAGAGCCAATTCTCTGACAGACAGTTCCTGTCAGACTGACATTAAGACGTCATGGTGATGTCTTGTTGGCACTTGTGGAAATACTGTTTCTGTCATGGAAATGTTGGAATTTCTTTGGGTTTGTGTGAATGTTTTATACAACAATACTCCGGAAGGCCGGAGATCTCCTCTTAGTTTCTGTCCCCCCTACGGACCCTCTTCCTAATGTAAAGCGTCCTTGGGTTTCATGAAACGTGCTATATAAATACAAGTTATTATGATTATTAACAATTTGATAGCATGCCAAGGACTGTAACTAAACCTGAGCTTGAAATGTCCCATTTTAGATTGCTAGATTATGTGTCACAAACACAATTTACAATAGATACCTATGCAAAGAGATTATGCAACACATCTATCTAAAAATATGATCCCTCCTGTGTCTGCTTGATGCTTTCTTTCCTTCTGCTTTGTTTAAACCCACTCCAAATGAAGTACAAAAGACTGGAAGAGTGATACAATCTGATCTCATGTTGAGTCAGTCCCTGTTTGTTACACATCCCCCCTGAGTAAAGTATCCACATAGAGCAAAGAACTTTGGATACAAACACTACTTCTCTTTACTTCTAAAAAAAAAACAGTTCTCTAATATTCTTGTTTAATTGATATTTCACATCCATGAATACAAGATAAATAACATTAGGGATTCATTTTTAAGATAAATCTCAATGAAGTTAGTAAGTGGTTAACACCTCCACCTAGTGCACACTTGATCAAACTATTTTTCACTCAATGTTTTGACCAATTAAAGGTCTATATGTTTTATCATGAAACACAGTCAGGTGAGAAGTGTATTGTCTCAGCCGATGGGAAGTATCATACAGCCCTGAGGTGTTAACATGTAGTATGCACAGAGAGAAAGCCCTATTTAAAAACAATATGCATTGTTCTAACCGCTTAGAGACAACAGTGGCTCGTAAAGCAAATGTTTCGGGACAGGGAAAGTTTAAATCAGGGCCTTAAACTAACTGTGTTGGAGAAGAGGTGAGAAACCCTTTGAAAACCTGCTTTATACTTACAGTGTAAACAGAGCCTCAATCAATATTGAATTCAGTCACTTAGCTGCAGACTCCTTTTTTAACTTCCATTTGCAACATAGACTTTTCTGCCCATATTTTGGCATAAATTCCTCCACTTTTTTATCGCTTTTGTAGCTTCAATTCCAGTCCTCAGTTTGTCTCTTAATCTCTGTACACCTGGTGTTTGTGCTAAAAGCTTCTTCTTTTTTCTTCAAGATTAGAGTCCAAACTGCTCAGAGAAGTCGCCTGACTCTTTTTAAAGGCACAGCTTTGGTACTGACATCCAGCTGGCAGGACACCATGGTGCTCTATACAGATTAGTGCCAGAGACATCATGTAAAAGAGCGTCGGATCAGTGTCACATGCACTCTTAACAGAGTCATAGTGGCTTTCTGATACCAACCAGGGACACCAACTAACCACTTTAACTTCTACTAATTAAAATGATGCATGATTTTGACATTTGACTGTGTTTTTCCTTTGTTAGAGACCCTCTGATGTATTGGTGTCCTCCCTTACCTCTGGGTCTGTTGCTGTACATGATGTCACCGAGAACCTCTTCGCCTTGTCTTGTGTGATGGTGTGTATGGACGAGTCTGCAGCAGGGGGGAAAAATGATTGTGTGTAGTTGGGTTTTGGTGACATAGGTGAGTTCCCTCTAGGAAAAGGTGAGGTAGAAGGAGTGGCAGCGGGTGAGGGCTGTGGGGAGAGGGTTCCCATCTCTATGGCCAGGTCCTCTGTGCAGGCCAGGCCTCGGCTGCCGAGGTGTTCGTCCGTCTCTCTGTCCACCACCAGCAGCCGGGTGCGGTGGGACACCACGCGGATACGGTCCACCACCTGTAGAGAGGAGAGAGAGGGAGGGGAATCAGTCAGTGTTATTTAGCCTGAACTGGCCTGCACCTGACATAGTTTTAGCATTATAGAGCAGTGGTGTAAAGTAACTAATTACATTTACTCAAGTACGGTACTTAAGTAAAGGTTTGAGATACTTAAGAGTACTCAGAGGTGGAAGAAGTACTCAAATATTGTACTTATTTAAGCATAAGTACCAAAGTGCAGGATTACTCATGCATTCAAAAAGTACAAAAGTATTGGTATCAAAATATGCTTAAAGTACTCATGCCCATTTCAGAATCATAAATATAATTTGTTTATTATAGCTGGTAAAGTTGGAACTTATTTAAACTCAATGTGAATTGAAGCCATGTGTATTAAAGTCTTTTTTAAGGGTTTATTCTATTGTTTATCATTGAATATATACATGCAAAGTAAATAAAGGTATAAAATAAGTGTTTTTTTTACCTCTGAATTTTAATGGGATAAAGATACAAGGGAACACAAAATGGAAATACTCAAGTAAAGTACAAGTACCTCAACATTTTATTTAAGTACAGTACTTGAGTAAATGTACTAAGTTACTTAACACCACCGCTTATACTTTACTGAGTATTTCAATTTTTTGCTAATGTTTCTTCTCCACTACAATTCAGAGGTAAATTGTGTTATTTTAGTACATCGATGTAATACCTTTAGATTATGATTAATCATTTAAAATATAATCAACACCTAAAAGACTTTAGTCACACCTGGAATAAATTCACAATCTACTAAGTAATTAAAACTAGCTTCACCTTTACCAGCTTTGATAACACTTTAATGCATCAATTATTAAAATGGGACGATCAGTATGATGGTACTTTAAGTATATTTTGATGCTAATACTTTTGTACTTTTACTAGAGTAACATGTTGATTGCAGGACTTTTACTTGTTCCTGTACAGGCACTTTTTTAAAGAACAAGATCGGAGTACTTTCCCTACATCTGTTACAAAGACACCCAGTGATTCCCATTACACAAAGCTCACATTGACCCATTTTAGTTGCCCCCCTGCCTCCTCCTTCTCCCCAGGCAAAATAAAAAGTTGTCTAACAGGTATACAACTCATTGTTTGTACCTCAGAGACTTAAAGCGCCTCTCCAGGCTTCTCTTTATGCAAGTACCTGTCTGTTATCCAACAATTTTTATTGAGCCATCACTCACTTGATGGTGGGCTTCGTTCTCCACATTCTCCCCGTTCACCTCCACCACCCGGTCTCCTGGCCGCAACCCGGCCATGTCAGAAGAGGAGCCGGGCTCCACTTTGCGGATGAACTGCCCGCCTCTATTCCTCTCCCCATGCAGGTGGAACCCATAACCCTGCTCTCCTTTGGTCAGGAAACAGAGCCTGGGTCTCAGCTCGCTCTCCATCCCAACCGGCGCGTTAATGGAGAGGAAAACAGGTCAAAGTGTCTCAGGAGAATAAACAGGTGCTCGGGCCAACCGCGGTGGGAAGTCTCTGGCTCTTAATCCAATGTACGGCTTCTGCGCGCTCCGGGGAACAAACGATCATCATCTTTTAGCATGATGCGAGTACATTAATAATCCACAAAAGAGCACAAATCACAAAAAGGCTTAAAAGTGTTAATCCATCATGCAAATGCAGGTGGGAAAAATATGAGCGCGTACAATTTGTGCGTAAATTTGTGTCCAAAAACTGCTGCCAATGGCTAAATCCTGACCATCGGAGGAATAATCCGAGAGATCAGAGATTAGAAAGATTTTCGTCACACGTAACACTTAATTCCCCTCCTCAGCTGGACATGTGTCATCCTGTCCTGCGGTACGAAAATAAAGAGGCGTCTACAGCAGATGGCACTACTTAATGTCCCCTGCAGCGCACACCTGACGACGCAGCGCAGCCGCGAGGACATTAGCTCGCAGTGCAGTCCCTCCAGAGAGGCGGAGGTCTGCCCAATGGTGGTGGAGGTGAGGCTGTGACCTGAGAGCGGAAATCCTCCCCATCTATCCCTGTCTCCACATGAGATCAACAGGTTGCGCATGGATTATATGGTTCATGAAATATAAACTCATAGCTTGCTTTCATTCATCAATTTACAAAGGTGTGTCTCAGGTTATTCAGGACAGCTTGAGGGTGTGTGTCGTTGATATTTAGATCAGGGAATATGAGACTTCCACGAGGCAAGTGTTAAGAACAGCAGTTTAGTTTCCCTTACAGCCAGAGGTGAAAGAATAAATCAAGTAAAGCAATACTTAGGAGGGTTATAAATAGTAGTATAAAAGGTAAAAATACTCACAATACAGTGCTTACTTTGACTGTTGTCGTACAGTTATTATTCTTAAAATGATAGGCTATGAATTCCATTTCTAAAGTAGTAATTATAGATCTTAATGTATTAAATGAAAATGACTGTTTATCTAGGAAATTTACTAAAGTAGAAATATGACGCATAATAAATTCAAGTATGAGGACCTCTGAATTATACTGAGTAAATGTTCTTACTTTCCACGTCTTCCTTTCACACCTTAACACTGCGGATGTGCTATTAACAAAAACATCAGATCTATATTTAAGGCGTGAATGAATGAATTACTTATCATTGAATCCTGTCACAAACATGAGCATTGTCTATGTGACAGTGTTTCATTATCTGTAAGGATCATTTTCACAGATGAAAGTTTGTCATATAGCGAGACAAACAGGGGTGTAACTATTATCATTAACAATGGCTTGGTTCTATGTCCCTGTGAAGCATGGTAGACATCCAACACACACCTGATGATATTCCTGCTAAACCATCCCTATAACTTGCAGTGAAGAATGATTCCAAACAAGTGTTTATTTATATCTTCTTTTTAAAGTCCATGACATCTCTACAGTATTTATTTGAATTACATTTTGTTGGGCATATTAGAAAAAATAGAAGCACAAACTTTGAACATGATTTCAGTACATCATTTATTTATTTTTTATAATAATAAAGTAGCACCAGCAGTAGAAAAATAGTTTATCTCTTTGAAGTAGTTGTAGTGTCATATTAAACTCGTACATTCTGATATCCACATCAATGTTCTCAGTGTGTCTGTGTTTAAGTTTGATCTTTCTGGTCCAATATTTGGTCACAGCTCAGACAAGACTAAATCAATATTTAACCTTGGTTTTTATCTTCCGTTTCGGTGCGTTTGGGGAAACAGGTGTGGGCAGTGGCTCCTTCTTTAACCTCTCATGTTTAACATCTGATTCTTGTCCAGGTTCAGTCTTTACTGTGGAGGCAGAGGTTGGATCAGGGGAGCAGGGGGAAGCAGCTTTAGGCCTTTTTGTAGGAGAGATTTTGTGGGCGGAGGGACAGCTGTGCTGGTTCAGACACACGGAGCAGAGAGGCCTGACGGGGAGGCACACCTGCTGCCCGAAACCCACCAGCAGCCAGTTGATCTCACTCCACAGCTCCCTGCCGCAGAGAGGAACATCACACGTTACTTTGAACTGCTCACTTATTGATTTTTACAAACAGGCACAACATACAGTGAAGGGTGCCCATCAATTAACAGGGGAAATGATAGAGGGATAGATAGATTGATCATTCATTCATCCCAAATTGGGAAATTATTTTGTTACAGCATCAGGGTGTTCCGGCAAGGTGGATTAAAGTACAAAAATAATCAAATTAAAATAGCAAATCTATACTATATCTACAGTATAGAGACATATATCACAAAGAATACACAACATAAAATGTTCTGGATAAGTATGGATGGTATATATAAATACATTATACAGTATGTGGTCAGTCTGGGTGACTTTATGGATCTGTTGGTCCGTGTTAATCAGGTTGTACAGGTCAGCAGTGAAGTAATCATGCTGTTACCTTGGTAACCACTCCTCCAGGGCCTTGCGCGTTTGCTCCGGGCTCTTGGTCGGTTTCTTCAGCCAGCCCAGCCTATTAGAGATACGATGCACGTGTGTGTCCACGCCTAAACAAAACAAAACTGTATATTTAGGCACACACACACATAAACTGATTTGCATTTCTATAGAAAAAAGCAGTGGTGGAAAAGCATTCAGATCCTTTACTTAAGACTGTAAAAAGAATGTAAAATGTCTGCATTCAAAACCTTACTTGTGAAAAGCCATGTAAGTGTCATCGGTGAAAAGTACTTTTAGTATCAAAGGTGCTGAACAAAATACCCCTTTTGTGGTGTTTTAGTATTATTCTGTATTACATAAATATTACTGATGCAATTATGTGTAATTAAAATGTACTGCTGTAGTTGAAGGGTGGAGCTGATTTCATCTATTTGATTCAGTGTTAGGTAATTTACTATATTTAAAACATTTTTTATAACTTTATCAACCTCAGTTTCCAGCTATGTGAATTCACAAAAGAGTGTCCCCCCCCACCGATGCCGGACACCTGGTCCCATGCGATGTCCATAGCCAGATGAGCCATCTTAGGTCCGACTCCTGTTAGGCGGACCAGCCCCTGCACGCTGTCTGGGATGTCCCCTCCAAACTCTTTCTGCAGAATGGCCGATGTCAGCTTCAGATACTTCACCTTAGTCTAGAAGGGGTGGGTATGAAAACAATTCAAATAATCAGAGATGCAGTGTGAAAAGGAGGAAGTGTGGCTCCTGTAAGACAGTACTGAGTTCTGTATTACCCTCCAGAAGCCCACAGGGTAGATGAGTTTCCCCAGTGCTTCATCATCAGTATTAAGAATACTTTCTGCAGTGCAGCCGTGAGCTCGGAGCCTCTTCATGGCTGCTGCGGTCACCTGGTCCTTGGTCTGACTGGACAGCATGAGTGAAACCAACACCTGGAAACGTCTGACCTGAGAAGACAACAGAGGGAACAAGATGAGTGCTTCTGAACCTTAGAAATATGTGAGAAAAAAGAAACCCACACCTACATGAGCAGTAGCGTCTGAGTCGTAGGTTTTCTCTGCCCCCATGTTATCTACAGGTGCATCCCGGCTGCTCCTCATCTCACGGATGTATCCCAATTGTTTCTTCCAGTCGGGAGGTTCCCAGTGTTCTGTCTTCACCGGCTGTACACCTTCATCTTCATCATATTCCACTTTGAGCTGTTTCCTTCTGCGGCTGTGTGAAGACAACGGCAAGGCGTCTGTTTCTGTTTTTGGATGGCAAGCACCAGAATGAGCACAGGGCAGAGAGGATTTAGAATATCTGACCCAGCACAGAAATACAGAAAGAAAACATACCACATGGGAACAAGTATGTAGGTGAGGTTGACTTGCCTCTGCTGTGTCAACCAATGTTCAGATGCAGAAGTAAACAGATTAACAAGTAAAAACAACATCTGCAACTTCTCCAACTTTTGCTCATTAACAACTGTATTTGGAGCTAGCTAGAAGAACTGTGGTGAATTTCTGAATGAGTTCAAACGTTTCTGTGTGGACTAACGTCAACATTACCCGTGGATAAGGGGGCCGAGGAGGGTCTTTGCTCCGAGATCCTCGCCTCCTCCGGCTCTACCTTCACCTCCACAGAGGAACCTGGACCCTGATTCCTACGTCTGGTGGTGAGTTTGGACCTGAGAGAGGCTGCATTTTGATCACCGCTCCGAGTGATAACAGGTCTGCTCTGCATGAAATAAGGAGAGGTCATAGTTAAAGTCCGGACTACATAACAGAACCTCGTTTTCCAGCGGACCTGAGGCATTTAGTTGATCTTGAAGTTGGTTGCTCATTCGTAGATTCTGGTCACGAGTTTACCAGAAAAAAAACAATCCCGGTAAATTAATGAAAGAAAGACAAAATAATTGTATTAATAATAAAAGTTGTTAATTTAAATACAAAAACGTTTTATTTAGAACAGCATTACACATATCTCTCACCAAGTTATGTTGTTTTATTTAGTGTACTAAAAATCATGACTTTAAGTGTTTGGCTCTATGCCTGGCAACTATGCACCTGTGTAACTTAATAAAAAAAAATGCGCTTAAAAATCGTCAGCATTAAGCAGAGATCAGGAGTATGACATGACATGTCATTGATTAAGCCATTCAGTCCTACCAATCAGTTAAAGGTAAATAAAATAGGGTTTCTTTTGATATCTGTTTATTAGAATCTAAAATGTGTGTTTCTCTCCAATACATTGTATTCATGAGGTTTCTTTTTCAATGAAATTCCTTTTTAAATCCTTTTACTTAATCTAAACCTATTATGTAGCTCCACTGGCAGGCAGCCTTGCGACAGTGCAGCTTCTGGCTCCAATGAGGAACCAACTTCAGCATCGTTAGCATGTTTAGCTAGCTACTCGTTAACCGTTTTAGTTTAAGAAACATGTGTCTCGTCACTGGCAGCTATTTAACGTCTTTCTTATGCAGCCACTGGGTAAATAGAGCTGCGTCCTGCTATTTTGTCAGGTAGTTTTCAAATTATACAAAACTCAAAACAAGGCTAACAAAAATAGCTTTAGCATAGTTTGTGTTTATCTTGCTTGGAACTACATTTCCCAGCAGCGAGAGTAACTAACGTGTTTTTGTAGGAAGTGCCCCTGTCACAGCGTAGTGTGTCATCCGGTTGGGAAGTGGAGGAGGACTGAGCCTGGACGAGAACAAGCTTCCAGCAGCAATTGCAAGTTTTATCAATGCAGAGACACATACGGCTCTGTTGGCTGCATATGGACGAAGCTGCGGCCTTATGAAGCTGAGAGAGACTCCTCTGCATTAAGGTGAGAGGAGGGGGAGATGTTTTCTAAGCAACGAGACCTTGAATGCCTCACAGGAATGCTAGCTCATGACAGGGAATGTAAAAGCAGAGCTAACGGTTCAGTAGCGCCATTGTGCATTTCTCCTGATTATACCATGTTTTCGCTAAGTGGTTAAATATATTATTTGTTCTGGATGGAGGTTATTTTTCACTGATGTGGTTGTTGTTGTTGAAGTGAAACAGAACAGTGGTTGTCTGTCTGCTCACCTCCCCTCCCCTCTGTCAAGTCCACATGACAGCAGATATTCTCCAAACCTGCCCCCCTGGTTTACTCATTTACAGGCTCCAAACTTCACTGCTGCGTAACAGAAGCCTCTGCTCCCACCATAGTTACATACAAAAACTACTACTCCAGTGGTATCTAGATTTAGCCATGCAACTTAAATGTAAAAAGTTTGTTGTTGCCACCACAGTCATTGTTGGAAAGGTTACTTTAGACCACTTAGCTAGTTACCCTTTTCAAAATGCATTACATCATGTACATCTTTTAGTATTCAACTGATTGTCAACTTTTATAGAATGTTCTTTAAAGAAATCAAAATTAAGAAGGGAATCAGCAATAGATCAAAAGTTATTTTCCTCATGTAGGATTTTTACTGAAAGTAATATAATCTGATGTAACACCTTTTAATCACCAGCATACACTTACATTCATTGTTACTTCACTTCAGTTCAAACACTGGTTTTAGTATAAATGTAGGAGCCATATGTTAAAATGTATAGTTTGATATATTTGAATATTATAATCCTTTGTTCTTAGTGCTATCATATCATTTATTTGAACCAGCCGTGTGGCATAGACGACCGCAGCTGTTTGTGATTACAGACGTTATAGCCGACGGCAGCTGCTGGTGATTGGGTGTGTGTGAGAAGGAGAAAGAAGCCCAGAGCAACATAGTTTTTTGACCTGAGAAAATATTTGTTTGTATTTGATACCTTTTTGTTTAAGTAAAGAGTCAAANTGGGCTCTGTACGAGATGAGGGTCAGCACTGATGCATCCTGTCACACACAATATTAAGATTAGAAAGGTATCAGCAGTGTGTTAGATGACAGAAACACAATATGACACAGAGGGANCTGGAGTGTACATGTATAGGCAATATACATTAAGCATTCTCATTTAAGGGTTGCACAATATTATTGTAGTTCCAGTAACCCAAAATTCGATTCACAGGTAGCAAATAAGTTTGACTCGGACAAGATACGTACCTGTGAATCGAATTTTGGGTTACTGGAACTACAATAATATTGTGCAACCCTTAAATGAGAATGCTTAATGTATATTGCCTATACATGTACACTCCAGGGCAAAACATTCACACAGAGGTACAGGGTGTCTTTGATCCTTTGCCTCAACAGAACATGCTTTGTGCTTCAGCCTCTTATATAAACCAACATAAGGAAACACACAAACAACCGTCTAAGTAACTGTAATAAATACACTTTGAGAAACTCTGAATATGCCTTTTTCCCCACAGTGTATCACCCCATCTGAATATTGTCTCTGCCAACATTATACAAATAAAACCAATACACCTGGATGCATGAACCTTTCCTTGGAGAACATCAGAGAGGCTACTTCACACTCCAAACGCCAAATATTTAATGAATGTGTCCATTGTTTAGTTTGGCATCTGCATGTTAGATAGATCATGAGAGAATGTGTCCAGATCTGGGTGTCTGATGACCTCAGCTAAACTCTCGGATAAATCTATAAAACTTCAGACTGGCTTAGAAGGAGAGAAAAGGTTCAAATGGGGCAACACTGCCAATATTAATCACATAGAAACCTAATTTCATCAATAATAAGAATATGACTTCGATAACATCCAAATTATGCTTCCAAATATCAAGGATTTATAAAATAAAATAAAAAGAAGAGAATGTGATTGTCACCAACAGTGAGCAGATCATAAGCAGATATGGGCATAGTGTTACAGGTGAACTCGTGTTGCTGTCAAACAATTAAATGTGCAGAGACTTTGCTGCAATAAGTCAACAGAAGGTTAGTTTATTTGAGTATGGGCCTCAGTGTGAAGTCATTAGCACTAGATTCAGGGTTCTTACGGTCATTAAAAACCTGGAAAAGTCATGGAAATTCAAAATGCTAATTCCAGGCCCTGGAAAAGTTATGGGAAACAATATTTTTGAAAAGTCATGGAAATGTAACTAAAGTTGCATCAAACATAATTTGTATTTGATCTAATCGCCGAAATAGTAATACTATAAAGATAATAAATACTGAATCGTATAGTTATGAAACGTAAAATGGCATTTAACTGACGAGGTATTTTGCTGGTGAGAGATTTGAGTTGCTTTAGCCTGTAGAAGCTAGTAAGCCTACTATTTGATTTGTTTTAGATAGGCACAACATGTTTCATATGCAGACCTTATTTTCCTGTTCCATGTTAAAATAAACCATTTTCAGTGGTACCGCTGAGAAAGAGTAATTTCTTTGGTCATGGAAAATTAGGTAAAGGTCCTGGAGAAGCCATTGAAAAGTCATTGAAAATCATTGGTGAAAAAGTGTATGAACCCTGTAGATTAACTTCATAATGCTCACTCATTGTCATGTTCCTTGCTGATGTTTGAATCTAGTTACAGGTCATATTTTATTGTGATGTAGTGGTAGCATCTTAAAAGATTTAATAATTGCTTTGGCTTTGAATGTGACCATCCATCTTATTGCTATTATGCTACATCAAGTCAATTCAGAGGAAGTGTGGCTCTTTATCTGGTCTATTGGGTTTTGCACTGTAATAATCCACATTGATAAAAACGTTTTCATCTAAATGTGTGCTGCTCTTTCTCCAGGCAGCTCTCAGTCCCAGCCTGTGCGGTGGACCGCCCCTTCAGGTTGGGCCATGAATAAACAACCGAGCAAAGAGAGTCTCAAGGACAAGGTGAAGGGGATCTTTGGTCTGGGAACCGCGCGGCCGCCCAGCAAACAGAGTGACGCCCGACCGTCAGAGTTCATCATCACGACGGACATCATCAAGGTGTGCAGGAGAGACCAGAAGACTGCAGATCTGTTCACACACAATAAAACGTAGCATGCTCTTTGTTTTGTATATGTTTTGCATCACACCTTTCCTCATTCCTTTCCTCCTGTGATGTATTTCAGGAGCTCCAACCAGACTGCGGTCTGAGCACCCGCGTCCGCATGATGAACCATGTCTGTGAGCTCGCCAAAACAAAGAAATTTGAGGATGTGAGTCTGCTCCTGGTTTGACATTTTTGGATACAACACAACATGTCATCTTCTGTGTGTAACTCTGTGTTTTCATGTGTTTTTTTTTTTTTAGCATGCTGTGGAGGCTGTATGGAAAGCTGTGGAGGACATGCTCACTCCAGAGCAGCCACTGGAGGCCAGACATGCGGTCCTGCAGCTGCTGAGGGCCATTATACAGGGACAGGTACATAGACAGGATAAACACACACAAATATGAAATTTGAATCTAGTTCCTGACTTTCCCTAATGATCGGTTCCCTGTATATGTGAAGGGCGAGCGGCTTGGCCCTCTGAGAGCATTCTTTTTCAACGTGATCAGAGACTACCAACCATCCAGCGAGGACCTCTCTGATAGGCTGGAAGTCTTCAAGGCCTTAACCGAGAACGGGAAAGACATCACTTATCTGGAAGAAGATATAGGTAAAACTCCCTGGACATTTTTTAAAGCACTTCAATGGGGGAAAAACGAGGGACTAAGTGGGATGAAAATGTGTTCATGTAAGGGTGGAGATTCTTAACATCTGAAATTGTGAAACAATTGACAACTTAGACAAATTGAAAACTTTGCAAATTTCAGTTTTTTTCCTGCAAATAACATAAGTTTCGAGAGAATAACCCTACTTATTTTAATAAATGGAGAAGGCAACATTTTCATTTTAGTTTATAACTTCAACTTGCTGTTATTGAAGTCACTGAGAATTGATAAGGTTGTTTTTTTTTGTTTACATTATTGCAATTGGTTGAGTAACGTTTTCAGATACAAAATAACTCTATAATCTTGTACACACTCTGCATTCATCCCATCATTTACCACTCTGCCTTTATAAGCACAGGCACACAGTGTGTTTTTCCTCCTGAGTAAAGCCCTACACTCATTGTTGTCTGGTTCACCAGCATGATCTTCTTTGTTCTGAATTGAATTGTTAGTATGAAGATTCTGGATTAAATATTTAGATTCCATTTGAATCATCTTTGTAGTCATGTTTGCAATTATTATTTGTTGAGGCATGACTGGGCTGTTACACACCTTATTCACCTGTAATATTCCATAATATGTCCTGCTCTCGCTCTGTTCTCTCCTGTCTCCAGCACGCTTTGTCCTCCTGTGGATGGACATAGGTCTTACCTCCGATTTTCTCCATGTTCTTGTAAATCTGGTGAAGTTCAACAGCTGCTACCTGGACCAAAACGTCTCCGTCATGGTCCAGTAAGTCAGAGATCCAGACACATAAACACATTTCTGTTTTCAATCAAATTAATGTATTAACATGCATTTGTTTGCTTGTTCTGTGTAGGAAAATCTGTCTCCTGTGCAATAGAACTACATCTTCTACAGATATTGAGGTGGGTGTTTGTTCAAATTCATTCTTTGTTACAACGGCTTGTTAGAATGTTACAGCAAAGACAATATCCCCAAATATGAGCAATGGTTGGTCCAAATTATAAACAGCAAATCAGGTAGGTAGAAAAGGGTTGATATCCATTATTTTTAGCATTGGGAGACATACTGATTTAATCATGGAATAAACGATGATTGATCAAAAATGTTTATAAATTTAAATTGTGTGGTCGCAGTTGGCTTTACTCATCACCACAAAAAACGTTATTTGTGTGAGGCACGCTAGATAGAAATCTTATTTAATCAAGTTGGTTTCTGATTCCCTAATAATGGTAGAGTGCTTGTTTGTGGGACTGAGTGGTTGAACTGCAGTGACACAGTTACATCTCCAGTTATCTAAAGGTTTTGATGTGAAATCTCTTAGAGATTAGCTGAGAGGTGTGTTACCATGCATGTCTTTAATCAATGATAGCCAGCAGACAACAGATAGTGCTGATTAATGCTGAGGAGGTATTCCTGAACATTTCACATGTAGTGGTTTGTATGTAAAAGCAGGACAACTACATATAATACATGGAACATGGAAGTACCAAATCATCCAATTGGCAGTCTGGTGTAAGGTGTTTGTTATGTACTGTGCTCTAACACAATCAAAACGTATTAACAGCACAATCTAGCGTGACCATACTCATAAATGAATGAGGCTCAGAGTTGTTTACAGTTTGTTTTGTTTTACTTGTGTGTGTTTGTATGTGTGTGGTCTGTGTATGCTGTGTCTAGGTGGCACTACAAGTACTGGATGCAGTGGTGTGTTACAACTGCCTGCCCTCAGACTCTCTAACTGTCTTTATCATCACACTGTGTCGCACTGTCAACGTCAAGGAGTTCTGTGAATCCTGCTGGAAGGTGAGAGAGCAAACACACACACATGTATACACACACTTTCTTCTTTGTCTGATGCAATGCGCATTATTCATAACGGCCTGTGATTGTGCACCTGCAGTTGATGAGGAAGGTGTTGGGGACTCACCTCGGCCACAGTGCAATCTACACCATGTGCCGGATAATGGAGGAGAGGTATTAGTCTGAATGTATTTCTGAACTTATGGTGCATTATGGGAATGTTATTTTCCTGCTTTTTGTGTCCCTTTTAACTTCCTGCACCCTCCCTCAGAGTGTACATGGAGGACGCCCCGTTGTTGAGAGGAGCCGTGTTCTTTGTTGGGATGGCACTGTGGGGCGCACACAGACTCCCCGCCCTGAAAAACACACCTACACTCGTTCTGCCATCTTTCTACAAGGTAACACTCATACAGTGCATGCTATCTGCCCCATTAGGCATGTGCTGATCTTATTGCTTATATTACATGAAAACAAGAATAATGCATACTGTACGTGGCAAAAGTGTGAGGGAAAACTGTTATGTTCTACAAGATATTATCTATATTATCTCATCCCTATGGTTTTCATTTCTTAATAATTGAATAATATTTGTTTAATCGTTTGGTCTACAAATGTCACAAAACTGAGAAAATTCAAGATTTTCCTGAACTCAAAGTGAATACATTTTGTTAGTTTAGTTTGGTCTTTTTTTTCTTAAAATATGAAACAAACTAAATTGTTGCAGATGAATGTCCTTTGGACAGAATTACAGATTATTTAACTACTTATGTCTCTTCTAACACTGTAAATGAAAAATGCCACATTTCCAAATCTCTTTTCTTGCCAAACATCTATCACTTTTTGCCAAGAAATATGAATATTTATATTTATGCTTCAATGCCAAATACACAATTTTTGCATATGCTGGATCTTCCTATGTGTTTTTAGTTTATGTCATACTATAGACATGTGTGTATAGTAGTAGTACCTTGTGTGACTGTATCAGTTGTAGCTAGTTCTGAGGATTCTTCAAATAGAAGTAAAATCCCTGATAATGTGATGGATCAGTTGTGTTAACTGTTTCTGTGTATCTGTCACTCAGGCCATGTCGAGTGCTAATGAGGTGGTGTCCTATGAAATCGTCCTCTCCATCACCAGACTGATCAAGAAGTACGGCAAAGAGCTGCAGGTGGTCACATGGGACATCCTGCTGGGCATCATAGAGCGGCTGCTGCAGCAGATCCAGGTACACACACACACACACACACACACACACACACACACACACACACACACACACACACACACACACACACACACACACACACACACACAGAATAAAATACCAGTTATTTGTTCACCAACTGGCCCATCTCATGTGTCTTCACAGACAATAGGCAGTGCGGAGTTAGAGGCCTTTCGAGGCGCCTCGAAGGCACAGGTCTCACAGAGTATAGGGTAGTCTGCAGGAGTGTGCGCAATAGTCACAGAATAGCAAAGCTTATATACAAGATAGGGCGGGAAGAAAGAGTTTTTGTGTAGCACGGCGGAACGCCTCAGAAATCTGCTTTCACACGGATGTCTCATATTGTTATTAAACACCTGTGTCCTTGAGCTGTAGAAAGTGTAATGGTTATCAGAATATGGAAGTTCAAACTTAGTGTGAAGAGGAGTAGTTTCAACATAGTCTGCCAAATTAGCTCTGTGGCCTTGAAGCGCTTGAGAATAATAACCCTCATTAGAGTAATGCAGAGAAAACGGCACATATGAAGAAATGGCACAGTAGTGTTAGACAATGCTTTTAGAAGCATTTGGTTTTAGCATATAAGGTAACGTAATAAATTGCCACTACAACAGACAGACAGACAGACAGACAGACAGACAGACAGACAGACTAAAATAGCAGTTATTTGTTCACCAACCGGCCCATCCCATGTGTCTTCACAGACAATCGGCAGTGCGGAGTTGAAGGCCATTGTGTACGAGCTGCTGACCACGGTGGAGGAGCTGTACGAGCAGAACGGTTACCACGGCTCCACAGAGAAGTTCTTCAGTCTGGTGGAGAAATGTGCCGACAAGAGACCTGTTAGTGCTTTTGAGTTTCCATCCCTCTGTGTCATATTGTGTTTTTTCTCATCTGACACAGGGGTTCCCAAACTTTTCAGCCCGCGACCCCCAAAATAACAGTGCCAGAGACTGGCGACCCCCTGTCGACGGGGGGTCCGCACTCTCTCGGGAGTGTCATTATCGTCTCACTTGCGGGGAAATTATACAGATGGCTAGTCCGCCCCTGAAAATGTCTATACGAACGTTATTATTAATAATAATTAAAAAAAAAAAATTATAAAAAAATTAATCAAATTTTTTTAATAATTTTTTTTAATTTAAATTTTCCATTTTTATTTTGTAATCATCTCGATACCCCCACTCGGGGTCTCGCGACCCCCACTTTGGGAACCCCTGATCTAACACACTGCTGATGCATTTCTAATCTTAATATTGTATGTGACAGGATGCATCAGTGCTGACCCTCATCTCGTACAGAGCCCAGTCTATTCAACCAGCCAAGGACGGCTGGATTCAGAGCCTTCACCGCCTCATGGAGAAATTCTTCAGGTAAGACACAAATGGGGATGACATTATCGACTCGGTGGCAATATTTAGCTATATGGAATAGTTTTTATCTCTTATTGCCTAATTGTATTTCGATGTTTACCTCTTAGTCTATACCAAAATTCTCTGGTCTTTTTAATATTCTATTGATGTCATACTATAATAATAATAATAATAATAATACATGGGACTTTTATAGCGCTTTTCATGAAACTCAAAGACGCTTTGACAGAGAATTAAGAAAACACAACAAAAAAAAGACAAAGAAATACAAAAAGAGATAAACAAAACAGAAAAAAATACGGGGGGAGTGGGGTGGTCAGTGGTTGAATGCAGTGTTGAACAGATGGGTTTTGAGTGATGTTTTGAATGCTGTGAGGGAGGAAGAATCTCTGATGGATTGGGGTAGTGAGTTCCAGAGGATGGGTGCAGCAACGGAGAAGGCTCTGTCGCCCCAAGACTTGAGGTTGGTCCGAGTGGGGAGGGACAGGAGGTTGGCAGTGGCAGAGCGGAGGGAGCGAGTGGGAGAGTGTCTGTGGAGGAGGTCATTTCAGGTAGGATGGGGCCAGGTTATGGAGGGCTTTGTACGTCATCAGGAGGATCTTGTACTGAATTCTCTGGGGGATGGGGAGCCAGTGGAGCTTGATGAGGACGGGTGTAATGTGTTCACGGATTCGGGTGTGGGTGAGTAGACGGGCGGCGGAGTTCTGGATATATTGAAGTTTGTTGAGGATTTTTGCAGGTGAACCATAGAGGAGGCTGTTGCAATAGTCCAGACGGGAGGTGATGAAGGCGTGGATNACCATCCAGGGTGGAGACAGAGGGGGGGGAGAGCGGAGCAGCTAGCTCGCCCTCAGAGGGGGACACCAGAGGACTGAGGCTCTGAGCAGGACCGGCACGAAGAGCATGGCCCCCTGAAGAGAGGGAGGAGGGTCACCATCTCATCTTCGTCATCATCATCATCATCAGTCAGCTCTTCTCCCTTTATAAATTATTTTTAAATTGTTTGGACTTGGATTATTTTTAGATTTACATTGTTTATTTTATTATTATTTAAATTATTTTTAGATTTACATTTCTTTTTTTTTTTTTATTGTTTAGATTTAGTTATTTTCAGATTTGAATTATTTTATCTTTTTAAATCATAAATGTTGGTTATAAATGAGCGTCACTAATGGAATTATTACTCTAAGTGTTCTGTTTACACTCTGACTAAAGCTTGACATTATTAAAAGAAACGGGCAACAAAATCTATTTATGATTCCTCACGTAATCCAGTTCCACTTATATAATATCCATAGCTCACAATGTCAATATGTCAATAATGCATGGCAAATGAGAGATAAGAAAAGGCACTTTCCATCCACTGAAGAGTCAATATGGAATCATTGTAAATAATGCCGCTCATTGTCAGTTACATGGCAGGTATCAGAGTGTTAGAGTGCGATGCAGTTTAAAATCAATGGCATAACGGAGGCAGGCGCAGTTTAAAGCATGTCTGCAGATCTGTGGAGGATAAAAGCTCCTATGATTGTTTCTAATTCGTCTGCTCTTCCAAAGAGGTTTCAAATTTTGATTTTAGAAAATAGCACTAACTGTAAATGGGTCATTTTGGCAGCAATATGCAAGAAAGCTTGTATAGTCATAGAAAATGACATTGGAATAGGAAATAGGAAATAAAGAGAGGAGGTGGTGCATTATGGGATGCTCTAAGTCCTGAAGCGTGTGTATTACCTGACATGGAGCGGACCCGTATGCGCGTGGCTCTGTTGTGCTGCTGACTCGACTGTGACTCCAGTTTGGCCGGAGCCTCTTTGGTGATTCGGGTGTGGAGGGATGGGTCTGACCTGCAGCACCAGGTGAGGAAATGCATTACAAAGCCGCTAACAAGAGTGAAACTCTACTGACGCTAACAGCTCTGTGAGGTTGTATTTAGGCCCAGCAAAGCTTCGAGCTAGATGCTAACGTCAGCATGCTAACACTCGGAAATGTAGATTTTAAGCAGATGTAATGTTTACTTATACACCATTTCATTAACTTAGATTAGCCTGTGGCATTAGCTGGTTAGTGCTACACAAACAGTATGGCTGAGGCTGATGGGAGTCTCATTAGTTTTACAGGCAGTTGATCATAAACAAAAGTGTGGGAAAATTAAAATGTTGCCCTTTAAATAGCACTAGATGAAAAAGAAGGAAAGCACCTCAATCATTAGGATTTATCCTCAGGGGAACATGAATTTCAGGTCCAAATTCCATATAAAAAAAATTGCTTGATTTTTCCTGTGTGTGTTTGAAAGTTCTTCACCTGGTCATCTCCCCTCCTCCTCCCAGCCGCTCGGCAATGTCCAGGCCCAGCAGCGCCTGCGCTCTGACCCCTCCGCTGGTTGTTATGGTCACCAGCTTGTTGCCCACCAGCCAGGTCATACTGCGACCCCCCGTTAAAAGGAACTCTGCAATGGGAGACCTAAGAGGACAAAAATGATACATTTCATGACTGCGACAGCCTCTTGTAATTCTTTTTTACAACACACAACTATTTTGAAAAGCCATACACACATACTGATTATAAAAAATGCATGCTGACCTTTTGGGCAGGGCGGAGAAGTTAGAAAAGACATATCGTGCCATCATGTCCAGACAGGTCTCAGTGAGCTCCAGGTGGACAGTCTTCAGACCCTCGTCCGCCGGAGTCACCGCGTTTTCATCAGCGGAGCCCAGAGAGCAGGTGGTGGTGGAGGTGTGCATCCTGCAGGAGAGACCCAGGGAAGGTTAGGAAACAGAAAGAAGTGCAGAGGAGGAAGAGTCAGGCGCTCAGGCTTCAGATATATTGAACATGTAGTCAGTGCACACAGAGAACATGCAGGATGTCACAAAATGGCACAAACAAACATTTTTCACATGCGACATAATCATTTATATGCACACATGCATCCACGTGTGTATATAAGGAAACGACCCAACATATAAATTACATTTTCACAGAAACACACACTGGGACATGGTTTAAGAGGACTTATAAGATGTGTTTCAGCACCGTTTATTTCCCTAGCTGCAGTTAAGCTCTGTGTAGGAGGCAGAAGGGATATGCAGCAACCTGTTTGGATGGTAAGTAAGTCACAGGACTGCAGAGAAACCAGCAGGTAGTGTGTGAGTGAATGTGTTTTAATTATTATCGCCGCAGCAGCCAAGTCTAGTATAAGTGTTTACTGTGGCGTGAGCAGCAGCTCTTTGTATCCACAACAACCATTACTGCGGGCTCCACGGGCCAATCAGGTTAAAAGCACCTTTAGAGGTTTTAACATCAGTCTCAATCAGGGTTTAAGAGATGCTTCAGTTCAAACGAAAGCCACATTGGCCTGCTGCTCAGAAGAAAATGCTCTCAATTCACAACTGAGCCCAACTGTGAAGTCTCTGTCTGTCTCTGTGGGGAGCGGACTGTTTCCATGCTGACAGACTCTTAAATAAAACCTAAATGTTAAACAAAGACACAAATATAAAAGACAGGAAATAACTATGTATGTATAAGAGAACAGTGCAAGAGGAACATCTGTCCTTGGTGGATCTATAATGGTTAATCGTTTTAGCTCTCCTTGTTTTAGCCATGCAATCTGCAGTATAATTTGATTTCTGCTAAACAATATGAATTATGGTTGCGTTTCAATATGTTGTGATACTTTAAGGCAAGGCGATATATAACAAGTTTTCTGGAAAACCTCATAGTATAAGGAGCACACTGATTAAACTAAAATCGAAATAATTTGTGTTCTGCATTTTCCAAATTTCTTTTTTTTATTCAACATCTATTTCTCGTGCACTGAGCCACTTTATGCAATCATCTTCTAAATTATTTAAAATCGAGTCAGTATCACAGCTCATAATATCACTATTCTCAAGTGTATCATTATTTTCTAAAACCACTACTTTAAAGAATACACTACATATTCAATCAAATGGTTTATAAATGGAAATATATGCACACCGTAAAACACTGACCTAATCTGAGAGATTTAAGGGTACAATGTCTGTTTTTGTTATACAGCTGCAGATTAATTAGTTCAAAAAATAAAATCTCTCCCTTGGACCAACTCCCAGTGTGTGAATAAACTACTTTTCCACAGATTTTGTACTTACCTTTCTGCTTCTGTCATGATTCATTTTTCAGTTCAATTTCTAGTACACACATTCTCAAAACAACATGACCATGAGATGCTCACGACTGAGCACTGCTGCTTTGTAATATTTGAATATCTTTTTTTCACCCAATTCAAACTAAAGCTGAGTATAATGGCTTTTGTGAGAGTTTAATGCTTTGCTTTTTTACTGCAGACACAGTAAAACTGCCAGTATGGCTGCAAGTAAAGAATTACAAAACAAAAAGATAATCATTTTCGATACGAGAGATTTATGAAAATCTGTAGAAAAGAAAAACGTGAAAAAACATGGTCATGTTGCCTCAAGTATGCGCAGGAAAAACGGGTTTAATCTAACTCAGGTGTTACAAGTCAAGACACCAACGCTGAGAAAAAGCAGATTTGCAGCTGTTGAGCAGTTGAAGCGGGTTAAATAGATCCACACTGCAGTTGTTTAGTTTGATAAAGTGCCATGTGTCACTGAAATTAAATTACATAGAGCACCATCAGACATTAAAGTACCGGGCCTTTGCTGCCATCTGTCTGGCAGGAGGAGAAGGACATGTTTAATAAAGGGGCACTGCAGCCACGTCTGACAACTGCAGTGTTAGATCACACATCTGTCAGTCAGCAAGAAGAGGTAAGCATTAAAGGGGTGAAGCTAAGTCAGGCGGAGGTGTGTGAGGTGATTTCAGTGTATGGTTTAAGCAGCACAGTGTATTATGTCAGGCAAGCAAACGGAGCTGTTGTGATGCTGTTGTCCTGGTCGCTGGGCGAGCAAGCAGAAGTGCCCCCCCGCCAGAGCAAAAGGGAGGCGGAGTTATTGGTGGATGTCAATCATAATAAGATCCCATCAGTTTGAAATCACATGCTTTGCAGCAGTCCCTCCTTCCATTCATTAGTTGTTAGGCCAATCAAAACCAGCCAGCAAAACAAAAAGTCAAATTAAAATTGGCTGAATATTAAAGCTAAATCTGTGTTAGAAGAAAACAGAAAACCATCAGATGTTTTCCGACATCTTCTGCAAACACTGCATGCAAAACCAAATCATAAGCCAAAAATGCAAAACAAACAGCATGTGTACGATCGCAGCCCAAACAAAAGGTCGACACACAAACCTTCCTCCAGCATGCACCACCCGCTCCAGGTGTCCCTGGCAACCAACCACCCAACGCCCCCCCAACGGACCCACATGACAATGACCCTACACCCCCCTCAATCATCCCATGGAGGAAGCAACAAGTGTTTGGGTGGCTGTTGTGTTATTCTGGGTTAGGTTACCCAGAAGGCTCTTCTCTAACCTGCGAACCGCATGTTCCGAGACACTGATGCTGCGGGAGCGGAAAGCGTCCATGGCCGAAAGGTCCCTCAGCTCTTTAACTGGAGAGCCGCTGCTATTGGCTACCGCCGCCGCCGCCTTCGCCACTTTCGCCGCCCGCATACTGAGCGGTGAGGATTACCCATGAAGCACGGCGAGAGGGAACAGACCCGGGGCAGTGATATGGTGGTAGTGGGCAGTAAGGGGGTGTGTCATCGTGAGGGTGGTTTGGGAGCGTCCGGGGGGGGGGGTACGGTGCATTGAGGTGTATCAGGTAACAGGATTTGACACCAGAGCAAAGGGCACACGACACGCAGGGGACACAATGTGGGGCCACAAAGGTCAAAGGTCACATGACACGGGAAGGACCAGGAGCAATGAAGGAGGGATCCAGGGTGACACGACCACCCCCCCAATACCACAACGCAGAACCCAACCGCAGGAGGCAGAGGAGGGGGGAGGGTCAAATGAAGAGTTGAAAGAAAACAAAACAAAGTGAAAATTAACAGCAGTGAACACAATGAACCAGATCACAGGAGAGCGGAGTTAGAAAAAGAAGAGTAAAATAAAAAAACATCAACTTAAAAAAGGAAAAACAGACAAGCTACAGCAGAGGGTAAACAGCTTCTGCTACTCGGAAAAGGAAATACACACAGAAAGTTTTCAGGAGAGCAACAAAATAAACATTATTTCACAGAGCAGGTACATAATGAAGCCAAGGACTAGTACAGCAGAAGAAGAGCTGTAGGGATGGACTCAGCACAGGCCTGACGTTACAACTGAAAAAACACATGACACCCAACGGAAAATGAAATGCCGGGTTAAACCTGAGGGTTGGAGCACAGCATGCCTGGAGTAAACACTAATTAATCAACATAACGGTACTTTGATAGATGTATCAAGGCTTTTGGAAAACATGTAAGCTTTCCAATATATAAAGCATTTGTGAGAAGAGGATATATATTAAATATTAAATCTGACATGCAGCCCTCCAACCCAACAGCAGGCAATAAGAAGCACAAGGAAGGATAACTGGATGAATGATAACAAATGTGGAACACTCAAAGAGGTATTAAATGGAAGATCAGTAGAAACTGATGTAAGCAGAAACACTATGTCATTATGGAAAGCTGATACGGGAAGGTTGCTTGATTGGAATGACAGCAAGCGTGTTAGAATTATTTTTATTTATTTTTTATAAACCTATAGGTGTGGGCCAACCAACAACGAGGGGCTAGGGCAAAAAAGATGTTTGCAAAACATGTGTAATTGCACGACAGAGGAGGAGAGGGGATTAATTAAAAAGCTACAATGAATCAATTGAAGCAAAAAATGAGGAAGAAAGGGAAAGCAGAGTTATAGATTTCTTCAGGGGAGTACAGTATAGTGTGGTCTCCAACTATATTGAGATATTTAGAGATTGTGCACTGTTTAAATATTGGTTAAAGCGGGACACTCCTGTTCATTCAGAGCCTTTTGGTCATAGGTCATTTTTACTAAAAATCTCTGTCCACACTGAAAATGTCGCCTACATCCTCCTTCCATTTTTCGGCAGAACTCTGCATTACGGCCGTCAAAACTAATACTTATTTGCAGTCCCCTCCCTCATACTGCGATCACCTGTAACTGTTTGTCATGATTTACTTTGGATGTTTTTAGCGCAAGTTATCGGGGCAATAAAGACACGGACAAACCGACAGACACTCACGCTATGTACAGATTAGCATGGCGCCTTGCTGGGAAAAGCTTCCTTACACCTCTGTGTGAAAGTGTGTATTTCTCTTTGTGAACAGATACATATAGTGTGGATGTTGAGATGTAACAGCAGGGGAAAGAAAAACAGATAGTTGTTCCCCCCACGCTACCGCTCTGTATCATCCTTATATAATACAGGTGGTGGACAAAGTAATAAACATCTGGACAATATAATGCAAACCAATACTACAAAGCACACACTAATACTACAGAGTTAAATACTATAACAGTGAAGAATCACAACCAATACAAATGTCCCTTCAACTGAAGGGCTTTTGCATTGGATGACATTGAATGATACAGGTGTTCATGTTATTTTGTCCATCCCCTGTATGTTATAATATGAGTGATTTTTCAACAAACTAATTGTGGAAGAAAAACAAAAAACACATTTCAAAATGTCAAAAGCATAAACAAATTAACTTAAAACACCATGGCAACCTGAGCAGAGTCACTGCAGCCGTCACAACACAGTACCAGTCATGCTGAGTCCCCTGTTACCTTGGCAACCCCAACAATGGCCACATGGACCATGTGTGCTGGTTTCTATGTGAGCACTCGCAGCAGTGTGTGTATGTGTGCGTATGCTTTACCTCTTGGGCCGCTCGTTGAGGCTGGTGCTTCGGGCACGAAACGCACTCTGCTCGTGACCGTCATCGAACGGCAGCAGGGCGTTGGAGCGCAGACCCTGGAGACACAGACAAAGGTGTAAGTGTAACGATAGAGAGATGCTAAACCAATGCAGCTTAAATAAGGGTCTGTTCAAAAGTTTGGGCCAAATAGTTGAGATTTTATGGGAGGTTACTGTATGTGCCAAGGCGGAGGGGCATTTTGGAGTCCCTGCTGCTTGTATCCTAAGCTAACTGCCTGCTAACAGTAGCTCCAAACACAACACACAGAATACAAACATTGTGATATAAACCTAGAAGAAAACAAATGAGCATATTCCCAGAAATATTGAACCATTCCTTTGATGTACAATCTCATCATGTTGACTAAAGTTTAAAAAAATTAGGAACTGAAGAATACGGGAAGTCTTTCCTTTACAGGATTAGGTATGAGAGTTAGAAAGTAAAAAAAATTTTTCAAGCGTGAAATTATTTAATTTTCTGAATGCTTGTGCACAAGTAAGAGCACTTTATTGACATCAATTTGTATGTGTTTTTTTGTGTCTTTATATAAAATAATATGCACATAAGTCAATAAAGTTAGGAAGATGAGTAAGCACACACCTTTGTGATGTACTGAACAAAGTCTTTGCGGAAGGGGAGTCTGCAGCGTATGAACCACATGGCGATCACATGGTGGGCCAGGGATACGATGTACTGGTTGAACCTGAGGAGAGTGGAAGAAACCAACTGGTCAGAGAGTGTGTGTGTGTGTGTGTGTGTGTGTGTGTGTGTGTGTGTGTGTGTGTGTGTGTGTGTGTGTGTGTGTGCGCACTTACTTGGAAGGGTTAGTGTAGGGTAGAGAGATGGCAAACACGCTGACATACTGCTCAGCTACAAAGTTGGCGTACAGATGTGGGAGGCGCACCAGAGCTGTGAAACGGAACACAGAAATAACTCTTTATCTACAGAAAACTTTGATGTGACTAACTGGCCTTGAACATTCACCAATGGTAGAGAAACTTATGACAAAATAAGTTGTGAGAAAAAAGCTTTTGGTGCTCACTGGAGAGGAACTCGAGCATAGGTGATGCCATGGCAACAGTGGCAGAGATGTGGGTGAGCTTGACGATAAGAGCGGGGAGGAGCTTGATCATGATGTCAGGCATCTCCACCGTGCACATTGTAAGCGCCACCACACACTGCTTGGCACAGCGGTAGATGAGGCCGGTCTCGAGGCACTGAACCAGTTCTCTCTGTAGGGGGGAAAGGAAATGAATAACAGTATGGAAATATCTGCTTCTGTGTGTGTGCGGGGCTGGTTAATGGGACGCTGTTGCCTAGATGTGGATTTTCTGGCAGTCATTAAACCCAACACACAAGCTTCAGAACATGCTAGAAACCTGTTGAGATGTCTTGATTATTCTCTACAGCATATCATTTGTACCTGTCTTGCCTGCTCCAGGTAGTTATGGTAGGAGGTGATCGCTGTGAGAACAGGAACCACCGCCAGCTGAACGTCAGTGCGAGAAAACCCGTCTGGGGTCTTCTTCAAACGCTCCGATATCAGCCGGTCTGTCACCTACCAGAACACAGACGCAAGTTCATTCATATGTTTACACTTTACAGACTTGTTTTACGTGTGTCTTCTTTTTGCCCTACCATGCAGCAGAGTGTGGAGCACAGCTGGTCCAAGCTGCATGGGGATGTGAGCAGCAGCACTTTGTACTGCAGCGTCCACGGCAGCTTGTCCAGAACCAGCTTCAGCACCTTCCAATCGGTCTCCTGCAACAGAAACCATGTCTTATTTCTCATAAAGGACAGCTTTGAAAACAATGTAACCATCAGTTATGAGTGAGTCTATGCTCTTGGCAAAGTCCTTTGTTACAAAGAAGAATAAACACTATAGCGAAACCCACCTGCAAACTCTCCAAGAAATAGAGGGTTGTAGTAATGAGTCCCTAATCCAGGAATTAGTAGAATTTTTGGAATTCAGGTTTAACGTTTACTTCTATGACATAAAAAACACCCGTAAATACCCCCTCGGGAATCTTGAAGTATTTAGCTGTCTTTAAAAAGGCAGAACATGGTGCTACATGAGTACTTAGGTTACCGGGGACCTTAAAGGTGATCACACCAAACAGCAGTCTGCATTCAGTTTATGAAGCAATGCAACCGTTTCTTAGTTGATTTACAGCCTAATGTTAGCTTTTTACTTCTGGCTATTGCATCTATACTTCAAAGAACATAGAAGTGGTTTTCATTTGCAAAGATTATCATTCTGAACAAGAATGATAGACACTTTATAATCCAAATGTTTTTTTGTATGTTTAAGAAAAACCAGTGCGTGCTAGCTTCTGGGTAGGACTACAACAATACATCATCCCTGCACCAAGACTGCATTGGGTGAGTTTGCTACAATAATTCTCTGTGTACCATCTTCAGGCCCTGCAGGAGGACATTGAAGGCCGGTGCGTAGGGCAGGTAGGCCGAGCGGATGGAGGCTGTTGAAGCTGAAGGAGCAGTGGGGGGGGCAGGGCTGCCAGCTGGAGGAGATGTTGAACCTGCAGGCTTCTTCTCACTGACACGCTTCTCTGGCTCCCTGAAACCACCATTTAAAATCCTGTCAATACAGGATTTAGTTGACTGGATTATTATGAGAAAAACAGAAGCAGATATGAGCCGTGTGCGTCCTCACCCTGTGTCACAGTAGCAGTAAGGGCTAAACCTCAGGACCCCGTCTTTGTTGGGGACACCAAGGCGGTGAAGAGAGTCCACTCGCATCATCAGGAAGAAGTCAAACACCTGGAGGAGAGAAGGAAGTTCAAATGATAAGTCAACATGCATGTTTGTTTCAAAGGGAGTAAAACAGGCACAAGATGAACCCCCTTACCTGCAGTCTGATGCTGCAAGCGATAGCTGAGCAGTATTTGTTCTTGTAGTGGAGCTGCAGGTGGCTGATTAGCAGCTCATACACACGACTGGCGTGACTGGCTGGTAGGCTGTAGAGCTTGCTCTGCCAGGAGAGAACAACATGGTTATTTACCACATTCACTAAATTGAATTATTTTTTCAACCACAACACAGGAGAAAATATTTTGGGCAAAACATTTTTTATCACTTGATACAAACTTGATACTAATCAATAGTAAAGATATTTATTATGTGTTTTGTTTACTATCTAAAAAGAATTAATAGCATCAGCTTTTTATCAGGCAGGCTCCGTTCATATTTGTAAACATGGCTCAAATCTGAAACTACGGCCGTATCTCATTTCTGGGATTTCCCCTCCTCGACTCCTGGGTCCTCCGGTAGTGACCCGGAAATGGATTTCAGCGTGCCATGTTGAAGGACATCTCAATTCTCTAAATGCACTTCGAGGACCGAGGATCGAGCGTCGAGGAGGCTCTCTGGAGGAGCTCTAACCGAGGATACACTGATGGGTCCTCCACGGTCCTCCACGGCTCCTTCGTGGATGCATTTCCGGCAACAGAGATGTTTCAAAGAGTCGTGACGCACGGCCGGACTGATCTCAGCCAATGACAGCTCTGCATGCATCCCCTGGATATTATTTTATTAACTGCTTTCATCGCGACGCGATGTTTACAGAGAGAACAGCTGGGAGGCCCGTGCAGAAAGCAGAGCAGTGTGAATATATCACTCGGTATAACAAGCCTACTCTCTTTATTTGCTTTAGTTTAGTAGATATCTACAAACAAAGAGTCGATATTTTTCTAAAACCATTTAGTGCTTCACATAATAAAATACATAACGGCTGTAGCCTGATTATGCTTTAGGAGCTGTAGGTGTGTGTGTTGTACAGTGCGTAGATGCAGCGGACAGACAGGTCTCAGTTGGTTTGGTGTCCTCTGCTTACTTTTAATACTTTTAACAACTTTTGGCCCGTAATTTATTTTCCTCATTGTAGCGACCAGAGAGGGGGTGGGGGGGGATATATCCAGTCTCTGATAATGTTACGTTATTATGAGAGTGCTCTCATACTAGTTTGATTCTGAAATTGTATATGTTTATATGAATATATACATATATGTGTGTGTCCGCATCTGTAGCCTGTTATTGTCTCATTATACTGCACTGTGAATGAATTAAAAGTAATTATATAAGTCGTCATGAACACATCTGTCCATCAGACAGAGTGCTGCTGTGCCTCCTGTCATCATTAATGGACGTCTATTTAAAATGAGCACTCAGAGTAGAGGAGTTCTCATTTCTCTAACCGCCTGCTGCTTCCCCTCCTCTCTCCTCGGCTCCTCCGCTCGCATCTCCTGTGGGAGGGACTAAGTCTCGAGGATAGGAGACGAGGAGGGGAAATCCCAGAAATGAGATACGGCCTACATGTTTTTGTAATTTCCGGACAATTTAAGAGGTTTGTTAACAAAACGTTGCCTTTCTAAAATAACTTGAACCCCAAGTTTTGTGAATGCAGCCCTTATATGTGTACCTGCAGGATTTCCAGCAGGCCCAGTATAGCCGTCCTAACGTCCTCCATAGGAGACTCTCCTGTGGGGTCTCTCTCAGTGACCTCCAGGGGCCCTGAACTCACCAGAGAGCGGCTGGCCACCTGCACAGAGAGAAAACACTGAAAAGACCTCATCGTAGCTGGAAGGAACTGAATTACCATAGCAGTGAGAGAGTGAGAGAGTGAGTGAGTGAGTGAGTGAGTGAAGAGTGAGTGAGTGAAGAGAGAGTGAGTGAAGAGTGAGTGAGTGAGTGAAGAGTGAGTGAGTGAGTGAGTGAAGAGTGAGTGAGTGAGTGAGTGTGTGTACCTTCTCAATGATGTCCAGCAGGCTGCTGAAGTGGTGTGTGTTGCAGCCCTCTGCCAGGTCCACCAGCAGCTGGGTGGCCTGTTTTCGGACGGCAAGGTCCCGGTCTTCAGCTATGCCACTGAGCTGGGGGATCACTACCATCTCAATCAACTCGTCCTGGAACAAGGCAATAAAGTAAGAGAGTGAGAGGTATTGAGAGATATTGTTGAATATTCACACATGAGTAAACAACGGCAAAACAGACATACAGTAAGAATTAAAGCACCACTGCACTTGATAGTTTATTTCAAATGTGTGTGTGCAGGTTTGTGTGTGTGTGCAGACCTCGTAAAGCTGTCGGTTGGTACTGAGAACGAAGGACAGGATATGAAGTACTTTGATCCTTATCAAGCTGCGAGTCTCGTTTCTTTCAGGGAGACAGAAACATGACAAACAAAATATTGTTCAGCAGAGATTAGATGAGAAAGGGATCAAGGTTGTGATAGCAGAGAGGGATACAATTGTTTATAGTTGTCATTAAACACACTGCATTATTTTGGCTGTTATAGGGTCTAGTCACTTTCCTGACTAGACCCGGATGTGAGAGGACGCTGGCGTCGTTTGCTCGCCGCTTCTCTATCTGGATTTTTTAAAACTTTTTTCTACTCTTTCCTCAACATTTCTTAGCAGCTTTTTGGCCGACCAGTCCGGTTAAGATCTATGTCAATCTTACACTGCCTGGATCACTGAGATATGTGAAAGTGTCCGTGTTTTCCTACCTGAAAACACCGGCTCCGTTTCGCCGCTCCACCTGCTCTCCTTCTGATCCTCCCGGCTTCCCNCGGTTTGCATACCTGACGGCCTCCGAATGAAGATCTCTGCCCAGCCCTGACCGCCTCTCAGAGACAACCCCAGCCTGGCTGAGTTCATCCCCATGCTCACTCAGGGCTGGGCAGAGATCTTCATTCGGAGGCCGTCAGGTATGCAAACCGCACTTCACACAAAGGGGGATTTTATTCTTCATTGTGTTTGTGAACCTTGTGCTTTCATCTTTGTACCGTTAAGGCCGTCCTTGGTTTTTGGTTTTGTTGTTAACTTGAAACATCCACAAGGTTATAACACAAACTCTTAAATTTCTTTTTAACGTTTTTTTTTATTATCTAAGAGCACCCTGTTAGATTTGGAATCTACCTTCTATTGAACTTTTAGCAATTTTAAAATCAGTAAAACATCAAAAATCCCAATGAGTGAAGTGATTTTCAACATTAGACTCTGTGGACAATTGGTGGACGTCCCTGTTTACAGCTGTAGTACCGCAATAAATAATCTCAGAAAACAAAGGAAACTTTACCAGTAGGTGAACTTTCCTCCTGTCTCTCTCTCTCTGTCGTCCAAGGCAACACGAGCTGGCTGATGTGTCTGGAGAACCCTCCCAGTCCCTTCTCCTCGGAGCTGGGCAACATGCCTCTGCAGGAGCTCTCCACCGTCCTCATGGGGATGGAGGGGGTGAAGGAGCCCCCGGCCCAGACCGCCAGCGCCCCCGCCAGCACCGCGCCCCCCGCCCCCGAGCTGCCGACACACAGCAGCGTCGGAGGGAAGCCCAACCTGATCCAGCGCTCCAACACCGGTGAGGGAAACCTCAGAGTCTGTCGGTGGATGTTATCGAGGGCTGGGTATCCAACCATTTAAGATTAGAAAAATATATTTGTACTATCAATCACAGGGTTTTTATCTACAGGGCCGAACATTATAATGGTCCAATAAATGTAAATATACGCATGAAAGCATCCCGTCCGCCTGAGTGCCTGTCTTCATTGTAAGCATTTAATAGTGAGGTAAGTGCAAACTGCCTGTCTATATTCTATCTCAACCCGAGGAGGATCAATAGGCCAGGCTGGATTAGCTCAGGTCGTTGATCGTGAGTTCTCATGCTTTCTGAATCTTGTACCTTTGTTCATTGTCTCTCTTCCTCTGAGGGTTCTGCCTCCCCTTATGCATCTTCACATTTCTCTTGAGTCTTTCCCCTAGGATGGAGTCAGCAGCGGTGCTAAGGCACGCGGGCTGAGCAAAATGTGAGCGAGGAGCGCGTGGAACCTTTTAGTGTGTGCGCGTGCAAAGTGCGCCACGCCAAAATGTTTCTGTGGGTGTTTTTCAATGTCGAGAACGCTTCCTTGGTAGGACATGTCTTCCGAGTCACTTCCTTCAGAAGCGAGGCAATAATCCTTCCTAGCCTCGGAAAACGAGGAATGGTGGAACAGGTGTGCGTCAAATGCGAGGCCCCGCCTTAAATGGAGCACTATTCCCATCAAAGATTTGGAAAATGGTCCGTGCGCAAAGCATTGTGGGGACTTTAAGACCGCTGTGCAGCCTCTACATCTCTCGCTACGAAGGATGCCAGGCTCGGTAGAATTCCAAGGAGCCTGGACAGTCCTTCGGCGGGACTCGATGACGTAGCATCCTTGAAATAGTGGCTCTGGAGCATCCTTCCTTGACATTGAGAAACACCCACTGTGTCTGCCAGCAAAAGAAAGGCTCTTGAGGCCTAGTACATTCAGGGTGTTCCTCAATGTCGAGGACGCTTGCTTGGTAGCACATGTCTTCCTAGTCACTTCCTTCAGAAGCTAGGCAAGAATCCTTCCTGGCATTTGGAAAACGAAGAGTGGAACAGCAAGTTTGCAGGTGTGCGTCATATGAGAGGCCCCGCCTTACATTTTCCGCCACAGATTTGGTGAAATTGGTCCGTGCGCAAAGCATTGTGGGGATTTTAAGACCGGAGTCTACACATGTGCAGCCTCGAAATTTCTCGCTACGAAGTACGCCTGGCTCGGTAGAATTCCAAATATGCTGGACATTGGAAGAGTCCTTTGGCGGCAATCGATTACGTAGTATGCTTGAAATAGTGGCTCTGGAGCAGCTTTACCTGAAATTGAGAAACACCCACAGTGGCAATGTCTCAAGATTTAGCAAAATACACCTTTTATTGAACATAAAGTAACACAAATACTACAAATCCACATAACAAACAATCAAGAATCAAAAAGGGTCGACACTTATTATTATTTTAATACATAAACAATAAATAAATAAAGATTCTCCTCATCAGCCCATCTTTTTTCTTCTCTTCTTCTTTCAATAAGTCTTCTTTTCTCACTGCATTTGAGATATTTGTTTTCCTATGTTCTGATTGGTTTGTTTTCATGTTTTCCACCCTCACCCCCATGCTGGTTTGTCCCCTGCTGTCCCGCCTGTAGTGGGAGGGTCTCTCTGGTCTCTGGGTTCGGGCTCCGGCCCCCCAGGCCCCCCGGCCCCCGGCAGGTTGCACAGGAGCATTTCCTGGGCAGGTACCGTCCAACACATGTGTGCCCCCACAAGCCCCCCCCTCCAGAAAACTCCTGGAGCAGTGTATTTCTTCTCACTTGCACAATACAGTGATCTGCCAGCACAAACTTAAAGGGACATTTGATCGTCAGTTTTCACTAAATCCCCTTTAGTGGAAGTTAACATTTTGTTAAAAACCGTCAAAGATCAAAAGCAGCAATACTGTTTTCTTAATAATCGGTTTGAAAGCCAATGGGATATATATGCTTATCCTATTTTTTGATGACCATCACACGAGATACATGGATGATCTCCCTATTCTTGAGAGTGGTCTCAGAAAGAAACTATTAAGTGTATTTCCTAAAAATGTCAAAATGTTCCCTTAATTATAACTGTAATGTTATGTGTAGCAGTTCATTTGTCCATTTAGCAGACCCCCCATGCATACTTTTACCAGGTAACTCCACACGCCTGCTGCTTTACACTCTAAAATTGTGCAAGTGAAAGAATTCAGCATTTCTGCTTCACCCATCAGACTCCTATTAACCCGGGAGGGAGGGTCCTCAACAGAGATCTGTAAACTACCTTCATCGGATCAATCACTCCTAAAGATGGATCGTGATTCATTTCACTCCTTACCTGATTTGTTTTCCCCTCCTAATCCTCTTTCTCTAACTCTCTGTCACGGAAATATACTCCCAGGTTGAGCTTTTAACCTTTGACCCCCTCATGTTGTCAACAGGAAAGCCCAGACCTCATCTGACTAACACGCTCCTCCGTGCCTGACCTCTAAGAAGGGCGATAAAGAAATTTTTTAACACTCAAGTGTCAAAAAGACCTAAAAACGTCGTCTTCTCCTTTGAGAGTGTTCATTATGGGATGCAGGACTTGGTCTGGGCTGCTGTTGCAGACGCTGCAGTGTGTTTGGCTCCAGATAACCAACCAAACAGATGCATGATGGGAAAATCAAGTAGATGAGATGTGAATGAAAGCTGCCTGCTGCTCTCTGATCTCAGTGTCCGACTCATGATCACAATGTCGATTTATGTGCTCTCGTGTGTGTTTCCATGACTACCTTTTGAGTGTGTTTGATCAATCAATACAACTGATTTTCTTTCATGTTACCACGACTAGAATAGATTTGAGAGAGAATGTGTCAACAGTCTACTGACAGCTTTAATGACATTGCTGATTTTTCTATCTAACAGCTGTGTGTGTGTGTGTGTGTGTGTGTGTGTGTGTGTGTGTGTGTGTGTGTGTGTGTGTGTGTGTGTGTGTGTGTGTGTGTGTGTGTGTGTGTGTGTGTGTGTGTACACTTATGGTTCTTGCTGTGTCCTCCTGTAGATTCTGTAGTGGTGCTGGAGGAGGGGTCAGGGGTCACCGCAGCACAAACTCCTGATTGGCTCGAGAGTGAAGGGTTTGAGCCAATGCCGTCTGATCCCATCTTCATGTCTGCAGACAAGTTCACCAAGACCCCCCCCCCTGGAACGCTCAGCCGGGTAGGTAGTCGCTGCCATCTCTGAAATCTGCACTAATGTTTGCATCATTTACTATGGCGAGTAAACAAAGTACCATGTGTACCAACCTAGTAAACAATACGCACTGAGCAACATTCATTCACACACAGATTTTCTGCTCACACTAACAAGCTGTGAAAAGATGAAATTAGGGTTTTTCCACGCATGATCTGCTGATAAGAGATTAAACACTAGCTACTCTCTCTCTAAGTGGGGTTCCCCTCCCTTGCTACTGCATAACAAGCGGAATGCCAGCCAAATGGAGCACAGCCAGTATTTTCATTCAGAAGGATTTGTCCTTGAAGTTTTGCATGTCTTAGCGAAAGCTGTTTAGCTGAAACGGGATCCAGTGTTCTCTTTCCTGTTTTAAAATAGCCTCCTCTCATCTCTCTCCTTCAGTCCTCCTCAACCTCCAGTCAAGATGATGAGAAGTCCACACTGGAGGAAGTAAGTGAGGGAGCGATTCCAATCGATCAGCCCACTATGGGACCCTCCACCCCGGGCAGCCAGGGGCCTGAACTCCCCTTCCAGAGCCACTCTCCGTCCCAGGGCCACGGCCTCAACAAGTCCAGCTCCTCCCCGGAGCTCCAGACCCTACCGGAGGCCTTCTCCAAGGCAGCTCTGGAGTCTGAGGCTGCGCTAGTAGAACCATCTGCCCCCAAAGCCCCCGCAGACAGCAAGCCCCAGCAGCTGCAGTCTGAGAAGGAGAAGTTGGAGGGGGGCACAGGAGGGGACACTAATGGACTCGGAAGTCAGAGTCAAGGCAGTGACAGCCCTGTAGTGTCTTCTCTAGGCGGGGGAGCGAGGATGAGGTTGGAGTTTCCGGCCCCAGCGGCACCATCCGGACCCATCTCCCCCGGCGGAGGCCACCGGCCCCGGGGCCACACTATCTCAGTGTCAGCCCCCTCCTCCAGGAGGGAGAGGAGGACGGAGAGAGACTCATACACCAGCCGGCCCGGACCCAGCACCACAGAGAAGATCTCTGGACTCAGCCCGAGGTAACACCAGTCACATGACCTGCTGCAGCCTCTGGCGCCTCTTTCTGACAAATAAGAGAAGCGGTCTATCCTCTAAGTCAGCAAGCTCATCTCTGCTTTGATGTTAAGACCATGAAGAAAGTCTAATCATGTTTTACAGCCGAGGAATAATTGAATGAGTAGTTTGAATCTTCACTCGTAAAGTAATCAACATTTAAGTATGTTTTTCTGGGGGGTTTTATGTGTACTTTTCCTTTTTAGGTGATATTTATAGACAGATGCAGACACATTTTGATATATAATCTTAATATCCCATAAAAAGGTCATAACAAAGTCAAACTTTAGTATGTCAGAAACATTTCAAAGTATAGTAAGTCATTATGTCAATAAAAAGGATAGAAATGTCTTAGTCCATAATAGATCAAACATAGTGGGTCATAAACAAGTTAGAGTATTATGTCATAAAACATGTTTTTTATTTGTATGCCATAAAGTTATACTATAGTTATACCAAGAAAGTCATAGTAAATGATGCCTGAAAAGTGGTCATAAAAAAGTAATGGTATAGTATGTATACAAATACCATGTATCTATTCATATTAAAGGGAGTCTGTCTTCTTCTGTCTCCCGCAGCTTCGTCTTCCTCCAGCTCTACCACTCTCCTTTCTTCGGGAACGAAGCCAACAAGCCTCTGCTGCTGCCCAAAACGCAGGTCAGCTGACTGCTCTGGCTGACCTGGAAAATAAAAATAGACTTTTGACTCGGTGCCCTTCACAACGCTCTCTGTCTCTCTGCTGTAGGTGATCGACCGGGCCGTGAAGGTCCTGGACCAGATGCCTCCTTACGACACCCACAAGATCGGGGTGGTGTTCGTCGGGGCCGGTCAGGTCAACAACGAGGTCGCCATCCTGTCCAACGAGTACGGGTCCAACCGCTATGCTGCCTTCCTCACAGGCCTGGGCAAACTAATCCACCTGAAGGACTGCGACCCCGACCAGATCTTCCTCGGAGGGCTGGACCAGTACGGAGACGACGGAGAGTTCACCTACTGTTGGCATGACGACATCATGCAGGGTGAGCACCTTAATGGTCATTAGGCAAATATACATTTTTCCCGCCTGCTTGTTCTTAATGAAATCTCCTCTCTGCAGCCATCTTCCACATTGCCACTCTGATGCCCAACAAGGAGAGCGACAAGGGCTGCTGCAACAAAAAGAGACACATTGGCAACGACTTTGTCATGGTGGTGTACAACGACTCTGGAGAGGAGTACACGCTGGGCACCATTAAGGTACATGGGCAGACAGATACAGTACACGTGTGTCTCTGCTGTATATATTGTTTATTCATTCTCTCGTCTTCTGCTTCTCCTTCTATTAGGGTCAGTTTAATTTTGTAGAAGTCATCATTAAACCGCTGGATTATGACTGTAACCTGGTGACCCTCCAGTGCCGCAAGGGTGAGTCGATCACCGTGTTCCTCCGCTCATGTTCCTGGCCGTTGTGTTTTTCTTTAACTCCTAATGTTGCTTCTCTTTCAGACCTGGAGGGACTAGTTGACACAACGGTGGCAAAAATCGTTTCAGACCCCAACCTCCCTCTCTTAGTCCGACAGATGGCTCTGCATGCAAATGTAAGTCTTGCACCTTATCTCTCACTCTCAGCTCGAGTCACACGTACACACAAATCCATATTTACTCTTCTTCTTCTTCTTCTACAGATGGCCTCTCTGGTGCATCAGTTCAGAGCCAACCCATCTGATGCCTACGCTTCCAAGTGGCTGGCGAGGTTGCGGCACATTAAAAGGATCCGGACCAGGGTGAGAAGAGGCTCTCCTTCATCAATGTCACTGCTTTTATTCCAAAGTATTTGACCTCTTTAACCATGTGTAATGTCTCTCTGCTCTGTCTTAGGCCCAGGAGGACATCCAGTCTCGTGCAACTCCCGGCATCTCACTGACCCAGGGTCATATGCAACAAAACAAGTCCTTTCAGCAGAGCAGTCAGAACACGGAAGTTTCGGGCCAGAGGAAAAGACTTGTCTCGACTGTGGACGATTTTACGGACTTTGTTTGAATGGGTTTCTTGGCCTGGTAGAAACACACACACCTGCCTTAGAGCTGAGGTCGGTTTACTTTCAGTTCTGAGTGGAAGAATTCAAGATGACACGCTGATTTCAACTTTCCCAGTTTGTATCGGCAAGAGCTTCATGGTACCATAAAAGCTTATTTTGTGATGAAGTATTGATATGTGAAGACATTTCTGCATATTTTTCGAAAAATGCTAACGCTTTGCACTTTTAAAGTCTAATCCTAATGTTTCCGATGTGCAACATTAGATGAGTAAAAGCTGTACAGAACACTACGTTCGAGAGCAGGATGTGTTTGTTTGTGAGTAAAAATATGTGGAATAAAAAAGTGGAGATAATTTAGGTTTGGTATCCGGAATATGTGATTTGTTCGACCAACTAAAAACGTTTTTTTTTTTAAGCTACAGTATGACATCTTTAACATACTTCACTACTTATATTTTTTTGGACACGGTCATCACTGCTTGCAGCTTTAACTTATTGAACATTCTTCACAAAAAACTGTTATATCATCAACACTTTAGCTGTCAAACTCTTTATTTGACTTTGTCAAGTGCAAAAGCAGGAGAAGTGCTACAACTGCAAAATACAGACATGAGATACAAAGAATAGACAAATGTTTTCAAACTGATTTGTGATTTGTTTTAGGACAAAAAGCATCGTACCACACAAAGACATGGAGGCGGGCTTTGGCACTAGCTTGTTACACACAGAGCAGAATAAGAGAGCCAGTGGAGGCCTGCTGCGCTTCCTGGTGTTTAGAGTTGGCTTACTGTGAACACATATTCATATTACACACATTTATAGCTTTGGCTGTTTCTGTTAGATTGGAGAAATGTAAAACTTTGGGGTTTGCAACACCAGTGCTTGACCTAATCCATATGCTACTGCAGCACATAAACAATACTGATAATGAAAAGCAAAAATATATACACCACGAAGCACCAATATATACAGAAATGTACACACAGGGAGGAAGAAGGGTCTTTTTACTTGAGTCTGAACTGTGAGAATTCTTCGGAAATTATCAAGGGATTAATACAGGCGGAGTTTAATCGTAATTTACACTCTTTTCTCAAATTCTTTTAAAACCCATGAAAATAAGGGCGTTCACACATAGCTACCAATTTACGGCTGGGAGAAGGAAGATAAAGTCACCACCAAATGTTTCCTCAGATTATTAAAAGCACCTATGTTTTGGTTTCCCTGTCCAGGTTATGGGGCAAAAGGGTGGGTTCCCTGAGATCTGCCCACTGGACACAGGAAGTACGATTACATGTTAATAAAACATAACAAAAACAGGAATAACAAGCAGACAAAAGTACACACACACACACAAAGTCTAGCTGTGGCTGTAACACCTTGATAATACTTACTAGGATGTTATTATAATGTGTTAATGACAACATGAGAGTTAAATATGGCATATCAGCTCCATTAGGAAATAAAGTGCTAAGTACAAAACGAAAGGTTACTTGGCATGGTAAAACTCGGAATGCATACATAAGCTTTGGCAACGTTTATAGTTTAGATACAGTATGAGTGAAGCTGTCTCTGTTGGTTCGGACACCAAGCTTATTATTCAGGACCACAATACAACAAATAAAACAGAAAAAAAGTGCTTATCACAACCATATCGAACACAAAAGATAATCAGACTGGGAGTCAGTATAGCTTTATGATGGGAGAACTAAATGTTCCTTTCTGCTTTCTCAACTTTTGTCTAACGCTCTTCAGATACTTTTTCTCTGTGCTACGCCTCCTTCTCTTCACTACTTTTTTTCCATTTCTCCATACTCTGGACGGTTATACCTGCACCCGGAAGGAGAGGCTGCTGGGATCCCAACAGCCTTGTGTGCGTGTGTTTGTGTGTATATGTTTCCTCTCTTGTACCTCAGTGGAGCTGGAGTGGATGGCGCGTTACATTAGCGTGTCTGTGCCTACAGTGTTATTTCCATGCACGTGTACACCTGCATGTGCTTATATCTGTGTGCCTGCATGCAAACTAAGGGTCCATGAAACACAACTATTTTCAAACAGGCCACAAGTACCCATGGTGACCGAAATATACAATATAAAAAATACGAACACGGACGACATAGCTGAGAAATCAACGTGATTTTTCTGAGATACACAAAAAGTGGGATGGCGTAGTTGTAATCCTTGGGTGAGTACGTTCATGCACTCTTGTCATTGATGACCCCATGTGACCTCCAGGGTCACATGGGGTCATTTTTAGTCCGGGGAAATGAGGAATAAAAGCATTTCTTGGTGTCAATGTTTTACTTCACTGACTAAACCCAGCTCAGTTAGCATCTGGTTCCCTGCACCTAGCTTCTGAGAGTGGGATTTGGACGGATTTCTGCTTATAAACCTGCAAAGTATTTTTACTGCTTTCTGTTCCTCCTTCATCGCCCCATCTGCTGTCTCTGGGATTCTTCTTCTTCTTTTCTTTCTGCGCTTTCTAATCCACTCAGTTCTCTCTTCCTGGGTCTAGAGAGGGGCCCCTCGGGGACAGAACCTGCTGCCCCCGTCCTCCTCTCGTCCTTAACCCACATTTTTTCGACATCTTCTTTTCACAACCATATCAATGCTCCTCAGGTTTTGGGCTGTCCGGGGCCCTGCCTGTCTAGGTTTGGGTGCACCTTGTTTTTGAGGGGTGGGGGTTTACGTTTCCGCTTGCGTGTTGGAATGGTGGTCGTGTGAGCCGGGTGGTTGAACAGGCTGGAGGAGGGGGGCTCCCAGTCCCGGCTACTGGGCGTAGGAGCAGGGGTGGGTGGTGAGGAAGGGGTAGGAGCAGGGGTACATGGGGGTGCAGAGGGGGGTTTGGGCTGCGGGACATGAGAAGGGGGAGTGATTTCTGAAGGGACAGGTGAAGGGGGGGTGTCAGAGGCAGGTTTGTCTGCGACCGGTGTAAGTGGAGGAGCACTGACTGCTGGGGGAGCGGGGGGGTGTGCAGCGGCAGAGGAGGGTCTGGGCTTCAGAACGGGAACGGGTGTAGCTGCTGGAGTGTTTTTTGGGTTGACGGCGGTGTTTCCATCGTCCTTCAGAAGTTCACTTTTATCCGTCTTTTTCCCCTTTTTGCTCCCTTTGTGTTTCTCCTTGCCGCTCTTCCTCCATCCAGCGGAATCCTCGTCCTTTCCTCCCTGTCCCGCCTCGCTCCTCCCTCCCTGACCTCCCCTCTCTGTCCCTCTACGCCTTCTCTTCCTCTGGGTTTTCTCCAGTCTACACTCAATATGGTACAGATCCTCTGTTGCCATGGTGACGCGGTCAAGCTGTTGCAGCAGGGCGTCCAGGGTGGGGTGGAGCCTCCGCAGAGACGCTTCGGTCTCGGCTCTCTCGCGCCAGCTGGTGCTCCCCGTCTCCACCCCCGGGCCGAGCCCCAGACCCAGGCCCAGCCCGAGGCCCAGGCCGATCCCCGGGGCCTCCGTCAGGCTGCAGGGGCTGGAGGAGGCTGGGCGCCATGAGGCCTCAGAGCCCGCATCGATGCTGTCGGGTGATGGAGGCGAGTCGGGACCGTCCAGCGGGGGGAGGCAGAGGGACTTACAGTCGCTGGTGGAGGACGCACGGGAGGGGGGGAGCTCCATGCCCTCGAAACGTACCTTGTGACGAAACTAAGGAACAGAGAAGATGGAGGATTAGGGGACATGTGAGGCGTAATGCATTTCTTTCTGCACTATAGAGAAGCATGTACCTCCTTGGCCCTGCTGAGTCCCATCCACATTTTGAGCCGCCTGAGGAACAGCTCGACCATCTCGTAGTCCTGGAGATCCACCGCGGGGCGGTACAGCTCCGCTCGGGCGCGCCGGTAGTTCCTCAGGATCACCGAGGTGACCAACCACAGCAACACCAGCCGCAGCACGGCGAAGCTGGAGTGGAACACCAGCGCAGAGACGCTGCTGGAGGGGCCTGTAGTCCCCCAGCTGGGTCGCCATGACAGCAGACCGCGGCCGCCAGCGCCTAGCAACGACAGGCAGGCGGAGCTCACACTGCCGTAGCCGCCATACACCGAGTGGAGGAGCTGAAGGAGAGGAGAAACAGGAGGGAAGTGTTCAAGCAGCTAGTTTTTCATAGTGCTTAAAAGCCAATCACAACAGAGGCCAATAAAAAATTGCTTCACTGCAATGATCAAGAAAACTTAGACTTAACTGTGTGTAATAAAAACAAACTTAAATAATTAAATCTTTAATGGTAGCTGCTGGAGAGCGAAAAACCCCAGAGTTGTGTGAGGCATTTTAGACCCATTGGAGGTGAGCCATACTCAAGACAAGCAAGTAAACAAAACATTGTGGTGTTTCTGGAATGATGACACAAATACGTAGATAAAATAGTTTTTACGGGATACAGTGTTCTGTTGTTGGTAACATTGTGTATACAATCAAAGCTTTCACTCTGGTTTTATAAATGTTGAATAAATGTCCTCTTTCAGTCATTTAGCAGCACAGAAACCGTGTGGCTGCCATGATAGTTGTTCTAACACAACATCACACTGTGTCATGCTCTCTGTGCTAAAGTGAAGGATTACTGGAGACACTGTTGACTGTCACTGTAAAGAAGGTGTGGGCAGTTATTATCTCAACAGAGAAAACCTTACCATAGAAGGTAAACAAACACGTGGGCGGTTATTTTCTTGTACGTTGTGTACTATGTAAAACTGTGTAGTATGTTTGTGTGTGGGGGCGGAGGAGCGAGAGAGAAACAGAGGGCAGGAGTAAGGAGTAAGGTCTGACCAGGTGTCCTGCGTGAGAGTAGGCCAGCAGCAGCAGCAGTAAGGCCAGCGCCATGCCCAGCAGCTCCCAGACGGAGCGCCGCAGAGCTCTGCCAAACACAGCCCACTCCCTCAGGAACCGCAACTGGTGGGACGCCTGGGGGGGTACACAGGGAGAGGGGGAACAATTATAATAATACAAAAAAAACATTTGATACAAAAACGCAATTAAAAAGACAATAATATAGTAATAGTATGTTTAAAAAAGTCACATTATAACACTCCATAGAAAAACCTCTTAGTAGCAAGGCATCAAATATTCATAGAGTCATAGTTTGTAATGAAAAAGATCATGAACAATGTCACACAGTCACGAAATGTCATTGTATAGCATGCCATACATTTCTTTAAAAACCTTTATAGTATAAAATGCCCCACAAAGAAAAGGAGGCTTGTGTAGAAAAATGACAGTGTCTCATACAAAAATCATAGTATAGTATATAATGATGATACAGCATTCCCACTATCTGTTATGCTACGCACACAATTATTTATTATTCCGCCGGGTGATTTTGCGCTGCTTCTTCTCCGACATTGAACATCGCAGAAACTCCGTTCAAACATCAAAACGTTCAGCTCGGTCGGGAATCGATGGCTATTACTTATATCATTCATAACTTTCATAATTCCAGAGATACATCCCATAATACATCCCATTTTTTACATGGAAATCAATGGAGAACTCTTCAGACTTCAACAATCTTTATGCAACTTCAACTGCTAACTGCTCCTTCATGCTAACTTTCACTCAGAAACCTCATACCAACTTTAAAATGTTACACATCTTTCTGACATTATTCGTGTAACACAACTTTTAAATCTGATTCTTACTTTTACAGATATTAAACGTTGTTTAGACCTTGGTAAAGAGGCCTTCTTCAGATTTTAGAATGTGTGATGTCACAGCTAGAGTGGAGGACAGATTTAATTTTGCCTTCATATTTTCATTTAAACCTGCCATAATTCCCAAACCTACATTCCTGAGACATAATTTTTCATGACAAACGTAGGAAAACATCTCGTAGATTGAAAGATTTAAAAAAATGAAGCAAAGATAATTAAACAAAATGCCTCTTGAGGGCATGAAGTGACAAAAACGCTCAACATGTCTCCATTAAACCCCATTGTAAATTCAGCCTGACCTTTCCCCACCACAGCAGCCGCACACCTTTAGTTAATCTGCCAAAAAGGCCAGAGTATTAACCCGAAAGTACACAAAAAGTACACTTCAGATGCTCAAGTTCCTTGACATGCTTCACGCTTGGAAATGTCACCGATATCTGTTACGGTTCTTCAACAAAACGTTCACATGTAACAGGTTTATCTCTCATTCAGAACAATGAAAATGCTTTCCTCTCACTAATCACCATAAAAACCTTTGATCTCTGGACACGTCGTTAGCTCAAATATAAACACCTGTGTCATGGAACACGATGATGTCATAACTCCCATTGACATAATTGGAGCAGCAGACTAATGACGTGGTCACTGGAGTTTAAGAGACTTTCTCAGCCTATTATTTTCTGTCTGATAGAGACTTCATACTGACTTCAACGTGTTCCACATATTTTAGACATTATTGGTGACGTATGCTTTTAGTTCTAAAGTTTTCAGTTCAAATATTCTGCTAATTTTTCATGCATTTAGACTTTTATTTTCTTGTTCTTATTTCACATTCAAGTCCCCTCTATTCATGAACCCTTTAAAGTACTCAGCCACACCACTTATATACCACGTGTGACTGTTGCTATGTGAGTTAATCTTTCAAATACAAGGTTGCTTGTTTGATTCAAGCACTTGTAGTCAATATGTCAAGGTATTTATCCCTAACATTTTATCAGCTAACTAATGACACACACTCAGAGGATCTTTATAAACGTATTAAGTATCGCACATCTTTAAACATGACTCTTATAAATCACTTTTAAAACCAGCGATGCACTACAGTGTCAGCTTTTCTAAAATAGAAACTTCAATGTTCACATCTTTCTAAATGATTCTACTTTTCAATGACCTACAAATAATCCTAATAATAATCCCATTTTCAATCTTCCAACTGTTCATGTTTGTTGGTCAATCAACAAACCTGTTACAAAGGTATTGTTCAAGAAATTTGAGCCTTTGCCACATTTATTTGATCACCATGGAAACCTTTGATCTCTGGACACGTCGTTAGCTCAAATATAAACACCTGTGTCATGGAACACGATGATGTCATAACTCCAACTGACATGGCCAGAGGCCAGCAGAAAGCTTCAGAAATAAATCGCAGTTACTGCTGGTGCGCTGGCCTCCAACAGCGTTTCACGGTCAATTATGCGGTCTCTACAGATGCTCGTTAGCTCCATGTCATCACTCCACCTGACATGCTCAGAGCAGCAGACTTCAGATAGAGGTTAACGGTCCTGCCCTCAACAGCTCTACGTCAATTATGGGGTTTCATCATATGCCGTTTCTATGGAAACGCATCCCTCGCCATAAAAGACGATGTCGCTATAACTCCTATGAAAATGTTCAAAAAGTGCTCAAACTTCACATGTGTGCTAACAGTCCAGCCGTGAAGACATCTACGGGACAATTTTGAGATTTCTTAAAATGCCATTGCCATGGCAACACAATGCTCGCCATGAAACACGGTTTTCTCATAACTTCAGTGAAAATGCTCCAAATGGCCCAAAACTTCACAGGTTTGGTAACGATGCAGCCATCAGCGCATCTAACTGTATTATGGGATGTCATCAAATGCCGTTGGCATGGCGACAGATCATTCACCATCAAGTTAGTTCAAAAGTTTGCAGTTCAAATATTCTGCTGCTTTTCCAAGCCTTTTTACTTTCTTTTCTTCTTTCGTCACACATTCAAGCCCCCAGTGTTCATGTATCATTTCAATCTAAATTCTTCACTTTCTTCTTACACATTACATTTCAGCATAGCAGTTTAGCGTCAGCTTTTCAGCATAAAGCATTCCCACAAGCAATTTCTTCAGGAATTGCATTCTCTAGTTTAGCTACTACCTGTAGAATTTGTGACGCGTTACATGTTTTTATTTTATTTGTTTGCTTTCCTTGGCCCTTCTCTCTCACCTTGAGCACCAGTATGAACAGCAGCAGGGCCGACATGGCAGTGTAGGTCTGGCTCTGTCGGGCCAGAGGGAGGAAGTCAGTGAAGGCATCCCGCGGCTGCTTCAGGTACGCCGCCCACTGCTGCGTTGCCATGGTGCAGCGACTCAGGTGCAGCCCGCACACACAGGCTGCCAGGGCCAGTTTGCAGAGGCCCAGCAGCCTCCAGGTGGACAGCAGGTACACATAGCCCTCTCTGAGGACCCCCAAGCCCCCCCGCACCAGGAAGTACAGCACCAGGGCGAGAAGGACAATCTGAAAAACAGGGGGGGAAAATGAAGATGATTTATATCGAACTGACAAAGCCAAGCACAAAGGGAAATAATGTACAGCAGTTATACTCAATAAGTGCAATTATCACTTTTATGTGAAAGATAACCTTTTTTTTTAATAATTGTCCCAACATTTTTTATAAATGTTTCAACACCATAATATGTTACTTATGACACTTGTTTTCTTTTAATTGCTGCAACATATTTTTTGCCAATTTTTCTATAACTAATGTTTTTCTTCCCTCCTTATATGTAATAAGTTAGGTCCCATGACATGCCTTTCCGGTTATTACCCGTCCCCTTGTGTGTTATGTAGCTTTTTATGCATAGGGTTGTACCCTGTAGCGGAACACAGAAAATACCTGTCTATGCTGCCCCAGAACTCCTCGTTGGAGATTTATCTTTTTCCATTTTTTTCTTCCTGGTCACTGTGACGTAACGACGACCCAAATGGACCAATCAGCTGCAGCTCCGCGGATTTCTCAGCCTGAGACGGCGGGACGCTGCGAGGCTGTGAGTGTGTGTGTCTGCTCACACACAGACTCACAGCCTTGCCAGGCTGCAGGTGTGTGTGTGTGTTCGGGCTGGGTTTCGCTGTGTCTTGCTGACCCCACGCAGCAACTAAGAAACCACACCAGTAACCCAGCTCACACTGTCCGCTCATCGCAGCAGCGAGACTCGCAATGTGCCGCCAACACGGCACCCAGACCCCATGCAGCATTCTCATCTGTTTGTCATTACTGGTGTCATTTTCTGGTTGCTAACGCCATTGTAACACATAATCACTGATGTTCCGCTGTAACGGTGGTTACTCATCAGAACAGAGTGGGCGAGCTGACTAATAAAGGATTTCTGATTCTGAAGGTAACAGGTGTATCTAGGTGTTTTTTGTTATCATTGACATTTTGATGGACTTTTGTTGCCAGGGGTTACCATGAGAAGGAGCTGAAGGTCCAGGCCTGTGATTGGCCACAGAGTGATGACATGGAGGTCAAGGCTGGACTGGGCACGCTCAGAAACTGGAAACTCAAACAGGAAGGAGAAGACGGCCAGGAGGTTTGTGTTGATGTTGTAGAGCGAGAACTCCACAAACACAGCACGGGTCCTACGAACACACACACAAACAAACACACACACACTTAAAGAACTAAGATAAGATCAGAGGTCAAACCTCATAAACTGCTGCTCCCAGACCACTAAGACTATGCTGAGACCAATTGAGGTTCTCTACTGTATAAACAAACCTTAAACGTTTGTGATAAGAAGTCATTAAAAAAAATTGCACAATACTGTCCAAATACAAACTCCTAAGGTTTAAGCTCGGCCGTGAGCAGAGTGGCAGAAAATCAAGAGCTGCACTTAATGCAGATATAACCGTCCCACTGAGGCGCACTGGCTTTGCACAAACTGCATTTTCATTTACGGCCATCAAACTCTGGAATATTCTTCGAGCTGAGCTTAAAACCTACAACATGAATTACACTGTAATCTGATGCATGGTCCTTGTTCAAATACAGACATAAATAAAACAAAATAGTTCAGAGGCACCTCCTGTTTTGAAAGAACATGTTTTCTTAAAAGTCAGTTGTTTTCATCACATGAAGTTTTGCTTCACATGACAATAAAAACTGTTTTGATGACAGATCCCCGCTGTGAATATTTCCAACCTCACACCAAAAGTGGTATTAACAACCAACATTCTTTTGTGTTTTATTTTAATGTTTGATGTTTTCATGGGGGACTTTTTAATGACTGCAGGCTGTAAAACACATTGCACTTCAGGGACAATCAAACTTAACGGATACGCATGGTTCTGATTTATTTCAATCATTGTGAAATTGTGAGCACAAGCCCGATTTCTAGTCCCTGACATCTGGCCTCTGGACTTTCTTTAAGCAGTGAGATCAGCGCTCATAACTCTGTTTTTTAAAAGCATAACATTTTTTAAATAAACTAACATAAATCATTTTTTATTGATTTTATTGCCTTGGACTACGTATTTATTATCTGGCAGTGCTCTAGGATTTTATTATTCTCAGCTCTTTGCTTTTCTTTTTTCAATTTTGTGAAACCCTGATTCAGTTCCTGTGTTGATTTCTAATCTGGTCTCTCTGCGTACCTGTAGTCGAGCCACTGGAGCTGCTGCAGTTGCTGTAAGGAGGAGGAAGCCTCCTGCAGGGTCCTGTTCAGCTGGAGGACCACGTCTCCTCCGTCATAACGCCACGTACTAGAAAGACAAGTGGAAGGAGACACAGAGGACAACAGAGAACATTTGAACCCTGTGAGGCCTCACACATCAAATTACAGCCAGAACACTCTCATTTTCTGAAAGAGATCATTGCGCCTTTGCCAAAATACAAAAATACTCTATTGACCAAAACAATTGTTTTTTTGGAAACAAAAATAAATATTCATCAGGACATTTGGAACATTTGGAACAATTCATCTGATTTGGTTCTTTGTTTTTTTCAAATAGGAACGTTTCACAAGCTCTTTATATTGCAAAAAAAAGGAACGAAACTACTTTTCTACAACCTTATTTACATTTCGTTTAAGGACAAGTACATTTAATAGCACGTCTTAGCATTTTGGGCATCGGTTATTTGAAAGTTCATAGGGGACAGAATATGTCCTCCAATTCAGGACTGTCCGTTA